TCTGTCTAGCTATTCAGTAGTTCATCCCAAAGCACGACGACATTAAGGTATACAAATTATTCGACAGGACGACATTATTTAATTTTACTATTTATTCAATTTATTGTACTATAAAAAATAGATAAGACGACTTGAACGAACGATACTAAGACCGTACTACAGTACGACATCACCTTAACACAACAAGAACAATAGTACTTTTTAACTTCTTTCCCCGACAACAACGAACTAAAACGTCACATTGTAACTATTCAATGCCTCATTTACTTTCGCACTAATATTCGCTCACACATCACAACAATATATATATATATATATATATATATATATATATATATATATATATATATATATATATATATATCAGTAGCGTACGCAGGGGGGAGCAGGGGGAGCTGCCGCTCCCCCTCTGGCCATTTTCAGCAAAGTGGCGCCTTTTTGGAAACTTTTTAAACTCAAAGTTTTAAACAATGATATTTGTTAAAAAATATTTTTGGTCGGCACATCTATGTAAATCACAAGATTTCTTTTCATGCAGCAATTAAGCATTATTGTACTAGTCTAGTAGTGTCTACGTTTACAACACGTATTAGCAGCTGCATCAGTTCTAAAAATAACCATTACGATGCATTGCAATGTTTAAAAAACCTCTACGGTAGTACCACTTGGCAAGAGGGGTGTTAAGTTTAAGGCAACTGTATAATGTATTTGCTTACGAATAATTGAATTAGAAAATGTTATACATAAAACTTCACAGATAATTACTTTATATATACAGTTTGAATCGTGTGATTAATTTTTTAAAAATTACAATACAGAAACAAATACAACTGATGTGGCACCTCTATTTAAATTTACTTATGAGCAAACTGCGTAGTGGTTGGTTATCCCCCCCCCCCCCCCCCCCCCAACACACCTCACCACCACAATTGTGTAGAGCGACATTAATGTCACACCTAGGTATACACTGGGTTGGATAATTGACCTAAAGTGACCGGACAGTGGTGAATGAAGTTGACCCCCCCCCCCCCCCCCAACCCACCTTGAACTGATCTGTTAAGTACATGTAGAAAAACGCGTAATGATGTACCAAAGTACCATGCCGCCAGAAAATTAGCTTTTTAAACGTAAAACTCTGTGAATATTGTTTTTACAATTACCAGTAAAAAGGAGTGTGATCCATACAGTGATCTAACCCATACCTATCACTATGTTAAAAATTGAACTTTAAAGATCACAAAGAAGCAGTAGTTAATTAAAATATATGATCCGAACTAAAAGACTGTTATTTAGTTAAATGTAGGCTCATATTCCAAATGTTCTTCTATTATTTAGAAATGCGTGGTTTTATATCAACCCTGATTTTAAAAACTTTCATTTTGCTGTGATACTTTAGCATTTATGATGACGATATATTAAATTCTGATCATAGACAAAAACATGTTGTAAACACGAATAGAGTTAAACAATTTCATTATATTCTAAAGTAATTATTTATTTGTTTTGACATTTGTAATTAAATGTGTAGATATATACATATTTATATTAAGAGAGTGATTATTTCCCCTATTTCACTTGTCTTAAATAATTTCCCAGGAATTATTATGTAAGAATTTTTTTTACAAGAATTACAAAACAGATTGTGTTACGTTCATTGTTTTTGGTTGTAGTATGTGTATATATATATTTTGTTTGTTTAGACTGATACAATTTTTGTTTTGTCAGCCTACATTGTGTGTTTTTTCTTATTTCTTCAGAGTGCTACTTTCAATTTAATTTACATCATAGCGAAGTAATGACATACAGTTAGTTATATATATATATATATATATATATATATATATATATATATATATATATATATATATATATATATATATATATATATATATATATATATATATATATATATATATACGTATATAATTATAAAACGTGTTAAACATTCAGCGCCTTTTTTTGCTCTTTTCGCTCCCCCTACAACGAAAACCTGGATACGCCTCTGATATATATATATATATATATATATATATATATATATATATATATATGAGGTAAGTAGGTAGGTAGGTAGCTAGCTAGCGAGCTAGGTAGATAAGTAGGTAGGTAGGTGCCTCATGATGAAATAATATCAAATACAATATAATACATCATTGTTATGATGTGTTTTATCATGGTATTTTGGTGCGAATGAATGTTGGTGAGAGAGATATAGCGAATGCATGTTTGATGACGCGGAAGAAAGAGAGTGAAGTTTTGCGATAGAAACGGGTTAATATAGTATGCAGGCTTGGGAGTTCGGACTAGGGAGAATGTGAGAGATACTTCTTGTAATGCCGATATCAAGGATAGTTTTCAGAGGCGTATCCAGGTTTTCGTTGTAGGGGGAGCGAAAAGAGCAAAAAAAGGCGCCGAATTTTGAACAAGTTCTATATACGTGTATTTTATATATATATATATATATATATATATATATATATATGTATGTATATCTATATATATATATATATATAATTACTAGCTTTATGTCATTACTTCGCTATGATGTAAAATAAATTGAAAGTAGCACTCTGAAGAAATAAGAAAAAACATACAATGTAGGCCGACAAAACAAAAAATGTATCAATCTAAACAAAAAAAATATATACACACACAACAACCAAAAACAATGAACGTAACACAATCTGTTTTGTAATTCTTGTAAAAAAAAAATTCTTACATAATAATTCCTGGGAAATTATTTAAGACAAGTGAAATAGGGGAAAAAATCACTCTCTTACTATAAATATGTATATATCTACACATTTAATTATAAACGTCAAAACAAATAAATAATTACTCTAGAATATAATGAAATTCTTTAACACTATTCGTGTTTACAAAATGTTTTTGTCTATAATCAGAATTTAATATATCGTCATTATAAATGCTAAAGCATTACAGCATAATGAAAGTTTTTAAAATCAGAGTTGGTATAAAACCACGCTTTTCGATAAAATAGAACAACATTCGGAATAACAGCCTACATTGAACTAAATATCGGTGTTTTTGTACAGATCAAATATTTTTAATTAACTACTGCTTCTTTGAGTTCTTTAAAAGTAATTTTTTAACATAGTGATAGGTATGGGTTAGATCACTGTATTGATCACACACCTTTTTACTGGTAATTGCAAAAACAATATTCACAGAGTTTTACGTTTAAAAAGCTAATTTTCTGGCGGCATGGTACTTTGGTACATCATTACGCGTTATTCTACATGTACTTAACAGTTCGGGGTGGGTTGGGGGGGGGGGGGGGTCGGTTCAACTTCATTCACCACAGTCCGGTCACTTTAGGTCAATTATCCAACCCAGTGTATACCTAGGTGTGACATTAATATCGCTCTACACAATTGGGGTGGTGCTTGTGTGTGTGTAGGGGGGGGGGGGGGAGATAACCAACTCAGAGTGAACATAGCGTCAGTTTTTAGATGACTGTTCTAAACATAAATATTATTCACAAATATATATTACACATATATATATTACAGAAATAGATTTAAATAAGTAGCAGTGGTATTATGACAATATTTTTTTACAGAGGGGTCCATGGGGGAGGGGGTTGTAATTGTTTCATATAATTTGTAATCGTAATCACTATCGCCCAAACTGTAAGAATACTACTACCTCATCGTGATGACGTTGTTGACCTTGTCAAAATTTCCCCACCACTACGCAGTTTGCTCATAAGTAAATTTAAATAGAGGTGCCACATCATTTGTATTTGTTTCTGTATTGTATTTTTTTTTAAATTAATCACACGATTCAAACTATATATATAAAGTAATTATGTGTGCAGTTTTATATATAACATTTTCTAATTCAATTATTCGTACGCAAAAACATTATACAGTTGCCTTAAACTTAACACCCCTCTTGCCAAGTGGTACTACCCGTAGAGGTTTTTTAAACATTGCAACGCATCGTAATGGTTATTTTTAGAATGGCAAAATGATTCAGCTGTTAATACGTGTTGTAAACGTAGACACTACTAGACTAGTACAATAATGCTTAATTGCTGCATGAAAAGAAATCTTGCGATTTACATAGATGTGCCGACTAAAAATATTTTTTTTAACAAATTTCATTGTTTAAAACTTTGAATTAAAAAAGTTTCCAAAAAGGCGCCACTTTGCTGAAAATGGCCAGAGGGGGAGCGGCCGCTCCCCCAGCTCTCCCCCTGCGTACGCTACTGATAGTTTTATATTTATTTAAACGAGAATAGTAGTTGAATCTTCTTCTTTTTCTTCGTTCTTAATTTTTAGTGTTGGAGGGGATCGAGTTTGCCAGGGTTTGAACTCGAGTCTTTTTGTTTTCGAATTTATCAACCATGAGCTGTTGCCGACTCGACCACGCCTCCTTCACAATTATTTTAATTTTAAGGGTACGTGTCAACTGGTTATGCGCCATTGACTCCGATTTCAGCCTGCTTTTCTTTTTGGATTTGCTTCCATAGCCTTTTTCCAACCAAGAACAAACTACAAGGAAGCAGTTGTTTGATTTTGCAGTTGTATTTCCTAGAAGAGTGGCTGTCCCCAGCTAACGAGCCTCACCTGTCCGAGGCTGACCCCTAGTAGTTGAATAAATATTGATCAAGAAAATAATAGGCATTGTGAAGAGCGATTATTGCCCGTATCGTGGTGATGTGAATGCATATGGTAGTGGTATGCTTTAAATGGTAGCATACCACGTGATCAAACACGACACTCTAGCAGCAGCCCTAACAGTCATGTAAAAATGTGTCATCTGGTCCATATAGGTTTTTGTGCTAAAATTTCTCGTTGTTTTTTCTGTGTGCGCTTTTTTTCCGTGTGCGCTTTTTGTTTTGCGCTTTTATCCGTTGCGCATTTTGGTCACCCACCAAAAACTAGATAGCCTCTTCCCCCTAATAAATCATTAGGGGATCTACTCATCCACTAAACTAAAATTTCCACACACAAAAAAAAAATTCTGTGTAATAAATTATACACTGAAATTACACTGTTTAATAAAAACCATTCCAAATAAAATTGTTTTTTTTTTTCCGCAAAAGGCTATAACAGTAGGAAGAATGCACAAAGTACAAGTAGCCTACTGAATGACATGAAACTAGGTGCTTCACTTTAACACTTCTACCTCAATATCAATAGCTTATAGATCTAGTTTGGTAAAAAAAAAACAAAAAAAAACGGTGTACAGTTAATGTAAGGTTAGGTGAAACCTGTTCTCACTATCACAGATTTGGTTAGTCCAAAAGTCAACAGCTCCGAGGAAAATCTGGAAAAAAAAAAACAACTGAGATGTTAATACAGTCTTAACCTTAGCTCTGCAACAAAACAGACATAGAAAAGTTGGTAAAATCACGATATAGCGTCGGAAATTATTGGGTAATGTTCGTTGAGTTTCGGTAACATTCGTTACTGTAAACCATAGTTTATTTGACCGTTGAAAAAAAAATAAAGTCAACTGCATTAAATTAATGTTTTAACTTAATTTAATGTTTAACTGACAAAAATTTAGCAACAATTAGTAAATCTAAATATTATTAATAAAGTCGAGTGTAGTAATTTATGTTTTTTTAAGAAACAGAAAAAAACCTGCAGAAGATTTGCGACAACCAGCTCTAGTTCTGTTAGTATTTAGATCTAGTAAATAAGACTAGACGATTAGATTTACTTAAGTTAAAAGTAGTAAGAATACAGTAGCGTACGCAGGGGGGGGGGGAGCAGGGGGAGCGGCCGCTCCCCCTCTGGACATTTTTAGCAAAGTGGCGCCTTTTTGGAAACTTTTTAAACTCAAAGTTTTAAACATTGATATTTGTTAAAAAATTATCTTTGGTCGGCACATTTGAAACGTAAATCTCTGTGAATATTGTTTTTGCAATTACCAGTAAAAAATGTGTTAGCAATACAGTGATCTAAACCATACCTTCTCATTATGTCAAAGCATACTTAAAGTCATTAGCTAATTAAAAAGTGCATGATCTGAAATGTATGACCGATATTTTAGTTATATGTAGGCTATAATTCCGAATCTTTTACTACTACATTGAAAAGCTGGCTTTTATACCAACTCTGATTTTAAAAAAACTTTCATTATGCTGTAATACTTTAACATTTATGATGACAATATATTTAAATCTGATTGTAGAGAAAATATTTTTGTAAAAACGAATAGTGTTAAATTACTTTATTAGATTCTAAAGTAATTATTGATTTGTTTTGATATTTATAATAAAATGTGTAGACATATACATATTTATATTAAGATATTGATTATTTCCCCTTTTCGCTAGTCTTAATAGATGTCCAGGAATTATTATGCAATTTTTTTTTACAAGGATTACAAAACAGATTATGCCGCGTTCATTGTTTTTGGTTCTAGTGTGTTTATATATATATATATATATATATATATTTTATATATGTTTTTGGTTCTAGTGTGTTTATATATTGGGTGACACCATTTAGGGGGGGGGGTGACACCAAGGCAAAAAATAGCAAAATATATAGAGAAAAACTTGAGGGGGGGGGGTGCCAATCGAAAATTTGAAATCTTGTGACACCATTAAGTGCCTCACCGGGTGACACGCGACCTCGCTACGCCACTGTATATATATATATATATATATATATATATATATATATATATATATATATATATATATATATATATACTTATATTATATAAAAGATATTACAAATTAGGCGCATTCTTTTGCTATTTCCGCTCCCCCTACACCGAAAACCTGGATAAGCCTCTGTAAGAATAACTAGAATAATGTTTAGTAGCAGCAATAATTAGCGCATACACTTAAAATAATTAGAAATACAAAATAATTAGCAAAACAGTATTTAAAATGCAACTAAAATCAATCCTTGCACATTTTTAAACATTATGTGTTAAAAATAATATGGCGGCAAATAAATGATGGTTTACGGTATTTCCGGTGGTTTCCGGAACGGCTCGACAGACTACGCCATGGTTTTACTGTTTTTTACTGCTGTACAGTTCCGGAATAATAACCGACGCTATATCGTGATTTTACCGAAAAGTTGATCCAGTAACAGTTTTAGCTCAATAATATATTGACTATATGGAGGACAATTGTAATTGTACTTGTAGTATGTCCAAAAGACAATCTAGAAAAATGTGTTTGTAAATCTCATTTGCATATTCAAATAGTGCAAAAATATTATGTTACGAGAAAAATGGCCCGTTGAGGAAGGATACACCGGGCGCTAGGTTGATAGTGCTGTCTCTTTTCTCTAAACTAAAACCAACCCACCCCCACCCCCCAACACCCCCACCCCCCCCCCCCCACCCCCCTAAAAACATGTCTACCGTCCCATTCAACGAAATATAATTATATACTTTTTCCAGTGTCCGCCCCCTCCCCGAAAATTCTACCCCCGCCCCCGAAAATTTCAAGTACCCCCACCCCTCTCCGGGGAGGAAAAAGTCTACACTAAAACCACCCCACCCCCCCCACACACCACCCCCCACCCCACCCCCCCCCCACACACACACCACCCCCCCCCCCCGCCACACACACACACACCACCCCCACCACCCCCCTAAAAAAACATGTCTACCGTCCCATTCAACGAAATATAATTATATACTTTTTCCAGTGTCCGCCCCCTCCCCGAAAATTCTACCCCCGCCCCCGAAAATTTCAAGTACCCCCATCCCTCTCCGGGGAGGAAAAAGTCTGAAAGAAACACTGGTGTCGCGCTTAGCCACCACCCGAAGAATTGCATTAAAGAAATTGCAAGAAAACCACTTTTTAGATTAGACACATTAATTAGGCGGTAATTTTATTATAGAGTATCGATGAAGAAATTTCTTTTGAGTTAGGGAGGGGGGGGGGGCTCAGACGTTCTTACGCGGGGGTGGGGCTTCGCACCTACCCGAAGAATTGTATGAAAGAAACTCTTCACGCAAACCACTTAGATTAGACCAAATTGCCTTTGTATTGAATGTTTACTCGATAATCAATGACGTCATATAAATGTGTGCACTATCCGGCTTGAGATTATTTTCTACTCTGTGCGCTAAATGTGTCGACGTCATACTTCGTTTTTCGAATTACTATGCATGTTTTTATTTTCCTTGTGTTTTCTCTAGAGCGTTCTTGTCAGACAGATAGATAGATAGATAGATAGATAGATAGATAGATAGATAGATAGATAGATAGATAGATAGATAGATAGACAGACAGCGAAACTATTATTATAGATGAATATGATGTTTACTTTCGGAGAATCTGCTCAAATTTCATAGGGAGTTCATTGATAGATGTCCATTCTATAACATCATAATATAAGACATATGATCAATTTTAATCATTGGGACCCCTGGCTTTTAATTTTAGTCATACCAGCATACAGCTTTAGTAAGGCTACACTAAATATATTTTTACAAGCTTTTATTTAACTCACTTCCTCTGTCGTAAGTCGTCAGTCGACAGTCTGTCGTCAGTCTAGACGGAAACGCAGGAGTGAAAATTCGGACAGTTCTACTTGACCGACACGATTCACAGTTGGCACGTGGGTCAAGACATGAAGACAATGCAATCTGAAACTAAATTTGACTTAATTGGATGCCTAATTGATTTTTTATGAATTAATTAAAATTTGGACCGAATTAGTAGGCATGTCTAGCCAACCACACCACACGCGTCATCAATAGCTGCGCCATCACGACCACGTAATGGCTGCGTTCAAAAACCATTGCGCGCCTACTGAACGTGATATTCTACTGGCGCGCAATGGTTTTTAGTCATGTAACTCTATTGTAGATAAAACATGTAAAGTACTGAAAAAAAATTCATAAAAAACCTTTTAATAACAAGCTTTTATGTAATGATGCACTAAAAAGTAGAAAATAAATTATAGACTACTATTTAAATAACTATAAAGAAAAGCGTGGGTGTCTTCCTTAACATTAGTAAAGGTATCCAATAGATACTAAAGTGACCCACGCTTTTCTTTATAGTTATTTAAATAGTAGTCTATAATTTATTTTCTACTTTTTAGTGCATCATTACATAAAAGCTTGTTATTAAAAGGTTTTTTATGAATTTTTTTACAAGCTTTTATTTAACTCACTTCCTCGTCAGTCTGTCGTCAGTCTAGACGGAAACGCAGGAGTGAAAATTCGGACAGTTCTACTTGACCGATACGATTCAAAGTTAGCACGTGGGTCAAGACATGAAGACAATGCAATCTGAAACTAAATTTGACTTAATTGGATGCCTAATTTATTTTTTATGAATTAATTAAAATTTGGACCGAATTAGTAGGCATGTCTAGCCAACCACACCACACGCGTCATCACCTTCAATAGCTGCGCCATCACGTAATGGCTGCGTTCAAAAACCATTGCGCGCCTACTGAACGTGATGTTCAGTAGGCGCGCAATGGTTTTTAGTCATGTAACTCTATTACAAATAAAACATGTAAAGTACTGAAAAAAAAATTCATAAAAAAACGTTTTAATAACAAGCTTTTATGTAATGATGCACTAAAAAGTAGAAAATAAATTATAGACTACTATTTAAATAACTATAAAGAAAAGCGTGGGTGTCTTCCTTAACATTAGTAAAGGTATCCAATAGATACTAAAGTGACCCACGCTTTTCTTTATAGTTATTTAAATAGTAGTCTATAATTTATTTTCTACTTTTTAGTGCATCATTACATAAAAGCTTGTTATTAAAACGTTTTTTATGAATTTTTTTTTTTACCTTATAGTTTTAGTGCATTTTTAAGTATATAGATCTAGATCTATGATTCTTTTGTAAACTGTGAACATGGCAAAAGCTTTTTTTTTTTTTACTTTAAGTTTTTATTTTTTATGTGAGATTCATTTTCTTTTTCTATGGGCATGTTGGGGTATGTACTATTTATAATTTTTAAAATGTATTAATACTTTTAAAAACATGTTATAATCTCAATTAAATAAACTTGACGATAATGTAGTTTTTAGGCCCTATTAGTTGAAACTAATCGTACTATTACCTTGTCTAACTTTCTTCTGCCTTTTTCATTATATTGCCATATACGCTGTTAACTTCAACCAGCTCAGGTTCATCAGATTCACCTATTTTATTTCGCTGAATAGCCATAACTTCATAGTCTTTAGATCCTATTTCTTTTGGAATAGCATAATAATAGATGGTAGTACCCTCGTGCTGGGAGGTCATTATCAACTCATGTTTTTCAATTTCGTATCTACTCAAATTCCTCCTCAAGTGTCTGAGTTGTGGGTTGGGAATAAAGTTCTCTGCATAATAAACAACTAGTACTATTACGACTGTTGTGAAGCAAATGATTTGAAAATGAATATTGGTAAACAGGTGAAATTTTTCATTACTATTTCCATAGTCATAGTTAACATTCCAGTTCGCTTCGGTATAAGGGTTTCTGTGATGGTAATAATTATCATGACCTGGATTTTGTCCATAAGTATAGGAGGAATTTGAAGATGCATTCATATGACGTGATACATATTTATCAGCATCTAGAGTTAGATCATACTCTTTGCGTGACAGGGGCTTAATAAGAACAGAATAAGCTTCATTGACCAGCACAAATTGTTTGTGACTTTCACTTCTAGTTTTAACATTGTCACTTCTTGTAATATTTGCATCAGGGTGAAATTTCTTAGACAATTTCAGGAAGGCAAGTCGAATTTCTTTCCTTGACGCAGAACGAGGAATTCCTAGCACTTCATAGTGATTCTTTTTAAACGTTGCATTAGAAAAACACCTCTTGTGAACTGCTAAGCTTTGAGCTGGTTTTGTTACTAGTGTCAGCCTACTAAGAGGACTCTGCATCACAGTCCTACATAACATAAACAAGTGCTGTCTTCGACACAGATAAAGCATCAAATATTTTGAAAACTGTGCCATTTTTCTATCATCGTAAATTAATTTTGTAATTCAAGTACTATAAAAATAATTAAGGATTTCAAAGGTCCACTGGTTAGCATGTTGAATAGATCTATAGAAAAAAGACAGTAAATCAGTATTTAATTTGAAAAATAATAATAATAATATTAAACCTAAATGGCATTTGTTAGTTAATCAACAAAAAATTCCTCTGAGTATTTATTCATTTATTATGACCCTATCTCTATTATTTAACATAAATCTGGGAATACATTTTAAAATTAACAGTTTAATAGGCCATGATAATTTTGCCTTAAAGCTTTTGACTAAGATTGCCTGGATTATTGTTTTTGACATTTGCTAGTATTATTTACTAAATCAAAATGAATGTCGTCTATTTCGTCTTCAGGGTGACTGGGACACTTTCAGTTTAAAAACAAAAAATAGAATCTCAATACTCAATTTAGGACAATAATGGGGCAATGCACAGAACTTGAAAATCAGCTGAAATAAGCATGATACTATTTATTTCCTAGCCTAGCTTTTTAATTTATCTAACCAACAGTATGTTAGTTTAGTGGGGGGGGGGGGGGGGGGGGGTTGAAAGGGTAGCAGCCAGGTGCTCCAAATTTACTGTTTAATTGTTCATTTTCACTTAAGTAGTATTAAAACAAAAATGTTTTAATGTGTGGTTAACAAACTTATTTCAATGATTTTAAAATATTAAACACATGCATACTGAAGTATAAATATCAGCTTTCATCACCTCCTACCCTAACATTGTTTATATAAAACTGACACTACCTAAAATAACATAGTTCGGACCAGCATTTAATTATGACCATAAAATTAGTCCATTTTAGTGTTAAAAAACACAAACAGCAGCCCAAATCTGACAAATGATTGACCATCTTTTTTTAAAAAAGTCAGCAGTTGAAAGTTTTATGTGAGCTATTAGTGTCTTTCGTAGTTGTATCAGGTTTTAGACATTTGGTCATTTGGGTTAATCAGGAACCCTGGGAATCAGTGTTAGCAATAAGGTTAGGTCTAAGGTCTAAAGACATTATACCAACATGACTGTATTCATTATCAGTGAATTACAGAACCACAACAACAAATAATGGTTCACTCTGATAGGTCAGTATAGGGATAGCCATTAAAGGGTTATTTAATTCGTAGTAACTAAGCAGTGGCGGAACTAGAAAAAAAAGGGCCACCCCGCAAAAAAAAAAAAAAAAAAAAAATATATATATATATATATATATATATATATATATATATATATATATATATATATATATATATATATATATATATATATACAAACATAGAATACAAACATTGGATACTCATTTCTGGCCAGATCGGATTTTGAGAAAAAAAATGTCTTTTGTTTTTCAATTGAAACAAATTACAATTTGTCAGGTGTGTGAGTGTACTCGCCTGTTTTCACTTTTTTTTTTAGACTTAGAACTAGTTTATTCAATGTTTTTTGTAAACTGCATACCGACTAATCTTTAGACGGTCAAAAGAATATAAAACGTGAAAGCTTTGTATGCATAATGGTTTCTCGTGTTATGTTTATTTTAAAGGTTTTTTTTTTAATTTATATTATTTGTTTTGAATATATTTCCTTTTTATGCTATGTCATTCTTTAGTACATATTTTTAGAAAAAATAATAATTTAGAGAAGTAATTGCTTTTTTAATTTGTTTAGAACAAATATATTAAAAGAAGCTTATGAGCACCCCTATTTAACTATTTAAAAAAGGGAAATAAGTCATGAAAGTGTTTTGAACGTTTGCCTGTCTTTCATAGTACAGCTCAGGCATATATTTTTTACGGAACAGCATAATAAAATATTAGCTACTGTATAACATTACTACAAGAGTAGATCTGTTTGTTATTCACAAAAGCTTTTACTGTCAATTCAAAAATGCAAGAAAATAGTTATTTTTTTAACTATAAAAAATGTATTATGGTCGGCTATGGGCCCCTAAATGGCGTGGGCCCCCCCGGCACTGTCTGGCGGCACTGTAGTTCCGCCCCTGTAACTAAGAATAACCACAGCCCTATAAAACTAGATCGACAGGCCTACAGTAGATCTAGAATTCTAGAGATTTATAGGGGCCTTCCCCCCCCCCCCCCCCCCCCCCCCCGAAGAGATGCCAGGAAGAAACACTGGTTCCACTCGACCATACAGCTGCATGAATTATAAGGAAATTTTGATTAAATGTAGATCTAGATCTATTAAAAAGAGGTATGACTGGGAATAGCCAGTAAACTACTCAACTCGTAACCTAAAATTTAGGCTAAATAGATCTATACTATACTAAATTATTTTTAATTAAATCTAGATCTGTCTATTAGAGTCTAGTACTAGTAGTAGATCTAGATTTTCTATTTGTAGATTCTAGATCTCATTTTAAAGAAAATCTAGTCGTTTTAGGACATTTTTTAGGGACATAAAATCTGCCAAAAATAGTATTATTACTTAGATCTAAATCTTAATGGTAATCTTATTGTTTTTGGGTAGGCCTATGTAGTATGTAAAATCGGCTGAGACTAGATCTAGTACTAGATCTGGTAGTAATGTGGAAAAAAAGTGACTCATTAATTTTTTTTAACTTTTTACATTTTTAGGAGGATTTATGTTTTGAAAGTTACAAAAATGTTTCAATGTTCAGTAATCTATCGTTTTAGGTATATAAAATCGCCCGCGGCTAGTAATGTGCGAAAAAGTTACCTCATCGTCAAGGCTTTAATAGAAGTATATTATCATATATTTGTGTCAAATATTATAGATAAATGAATAATAAACATAAATCAATGGCTAAATATATCAATATAGGCAAGAAATTAACTTTAAACAGCAGTGTTTGCGAGCAGGATTTGCTATATAAAAAGCGGCCATCTGAAAGTTAGAGTGGCTTCCCCTGAATCTTGCGCTATAAGTTTACAGTAAAAAAAAATAAACAAGATGGCTGCTATAGTAAATGAGCATGGTTGCATCTGTTGGAAATATCGCTAGTCTTCATTTATTACTGAAAAGTTTAAATTCAGATTAATTCAATTGTTTAAAAACAGGTACATAAATGAAACAAGGAAACATATTTATATTTTTCAAAACATAAATCCTCCTCAAAATGTTAAATAATTATTAAAATTTAAGGAGTCAACCGTTTTTCACATTACTAGTCGCGGGCGATTTTACGTACCTAAAACGATAGATTACCCAATGTTTCATTTTTATGTAGGCCCCTTTTCAGTAAAAAATTTAAACTAGCGATCATGACTAGCGATGTTTTCATCAGATGCAACCAAGCTCATTTACTTTAGCAGCCATCTTATTTAAGTATTTTTTTGGTAAAATTATAGTTAGAGATTCAGGGGAAACCACTCTAACTTACAGATGGTCGCTGTTTAACTTTATATACTAATATTAGGGCCTATATATTATATTTTATTATAATATTTAATATATTATTTACTCATAGACATAGATCTAGGAAATCTTGCTCGTAAACACTGCTGTTCAATGTTAATTTCTGGCCTATGGATCCTAGGCCTACTTAATATTTAGATAGATTAGGCCCTATAGAATACTATAGATTGATCTAGATTACCTAGAATCCTAGATCTAAGTAATGTAAATATAATATTAATAGGCCTATAGCCCGGCTATAGGCCCTATAATTTATAATAGGCCTATTTATTATAATATAATTACAATAATTAATTAGTCATAATTATTAATTAGCCTAATATTAATAATAGGCCTATTACTGCTATTACTATTAATTTTAATATAAATATATAGATTTAGATCTTAGGCCTACAGCGATGTTTTCATCATATGCAACCAACCATTGAGCCTAGCTTGTTAACTTCTTAGAATCTAGAATCTAGATCTAATCTAGATCTATCATAATCATAGATCTCTAGTCTCTAGATCTAGAATCTAGTCTTAAGTCTAACACCGCGTTTACACTTATGACATGTATACTAGACTTGACCTACTAAAGTGTATACTAAACATGTTACGGGTATATGGAATATCTTCTGAGTCGCAGGGCACAAAAACACGCCCCTTTTCTGGGTCAAGTTTTTGTCATCGCTCCCTGAGCGAAAACATAGGACATGTTCTGAATTTTCAGATGAGTGCGCATGCGTCAAAAGTAGTAAGCGCATCCTAGGTCTCAGCTGATTGTAAAATTAAATATAAGATTCTAATGATTTTGAGTATTTGAGCACACGATTTCATAATTTATAACTTCTCTAGGCCCTACTAAAAATTACATTTTTATAATTACTTATTATTTCTTAAATTAAATTCCAAACACGTTTTAATGAAATAATGTATTGTCTAAGTCCAATGTGAAAAAAGGCATTCGTGCCGACAATTGTAACCGTTTTTTTAAATAAAAAAATAAATTACTATTTTGCCTTAAAACCAGTTTAGGTATTAATTACGAAAATAATAAGTAATTAAAAAATATAATTTAACCAAAGTTATCTCCAATTTTTCCTTGACCAATATTTTGTTTTAAGTGGATCAACATATTTTCAGTTTCCGTCTGACGAATAAATCTTTAGGCCCACCCACCAGAATCAGTGTTTCTTCCAGACTTTTTACCGGCGGGGGGGCACTTGATATTTGGGGGGGGGGGGGGCGGGGGCGGTAGACTTTCTTCGGGGGTGGGGGGGAGGACCGAAGAGATGCCTGGAAGAAACTGGCCAGAGTGTGCTCGTGGGATCACACATAATCAACTAACTATAAAAACAGGCAGATAAAAAAGTCACAGGCTAATTATTTAGGTTTAAAATAAGACATAATTAACATAAAGAAACGAAATGAGGGGGGGGGGATGTCATAGGCCCTAGGGGTCGTCCATAAATAACGTCACACTCGTAGGGAGAGAGGGGTCCGTAATTTTGTGACGGTGTGTGATGGGGGGGGGGGGGGGTTCAGATGGTGCGACCGCACACTTTTGCATTATAAAAAAGCAATGTTAGAAAGCGAAGATTAGACGTTAATTCGCGATTTAGAAAACTGTTTTAATAAATTATAATAGGAATTGATTAAAATATTCTATCTTGATAGAGTTCTGACAAGATTTTGGAAAAATATCGATGTTTAAAAAAAAATTAAACTGCAATTTTGAGGGGGGGGGGGTTGTAGGCTGAGGTGTGACGTCATTTTAGGGGGGCAGTAGCGTACGCAGGGGGGAGCAGGGGGAGCGGCCGCTCCCCCTCTGGCCATTTTCAGCAACGTGGCGCCTTTTTGGAAACTTTTTAAACTCAAAGTTTTAAACAATGATATTTGTTAAAGAAATATTTTTGGTCGGCACATCTATGTAAATCACAAGATTTCTTTTCATACAGCAATTAAGCATTATTGTACAAGTCTAGTAGTGTCTACGTTTACAACACGTATTAACAGCTGCATCAGTTTGCCATTCTAAAAATAACCATTACGATGCATTGCAATGTTTAAAAAATCTCTACTGGTAGTACCACTTGGCAAGAGGGGTGTTAAGTTTAAGGCAACTGTATAATATATTTGCTTACGAATAATTGCATTAGAAAATGTTATACATAAAACTTCACAAATAATTACTTTTTATATACAGTTTGAATCGTGTGATTAATTTTTTTTTTAAAATTACAATACAGAAACAAATACAACTGATGTGGTACCTCTATTTAAATTTACTTATGAGCAAACTGCGTAGTGGTGGGGAAATTTTGACAAGGTCAACAACGTCATCACGATGAAGTAGTATTCTTACAGTTTGGGCGATAGTTATTACGATTACAAATTATATGAAACAGTTACAACCCCCTCCCCCCTCCCCCGTGTACCCCTCTGTAAAAAAATATTGTCATAATGCCACTGCTACTTATTTAAATCTATTTCTGTAATATATATTTGTGTAATATATATGTATGTTTAGAACAGTCATCTAAAAACTGACGCTATGTTCACTCTGAGTTGGTTATCTTCCCCCCCCCCCCCATACACCTCACCACCAAAATTGTGTAGAGCGACATTAATGGTACACCTAGGTATACACTGGGTTGGATAATTGACCTAAAGTGACCGGACAGTGGAGAATGAAGTTGACCCCCCCCCCCCCCCCGCACAACCCACCCCGAACTGACCTGTTAAGTACATGTAGAAAAACGCGTAATAATGTACCAAAGTACCATGCCGCCAGAAAATTAGCTTTTTAAACGTAAAACTCTGTGAATATTGTTTTTGCAATCACCAGTAAAAAGATGTGTGATAAATACAGTGATCTAACCCATACCTATCACTATGTTAAAAAATGATCTCTAAAGAACACAAAGAAGCAGTAGTTAATTTAAAAGTTTTGTTCTGAACTTAAAGACCGATATTTAGTTATATGTAGGCTGTTATTCCGAATGTTTTTCAATTATAACGAAAAGCGTGGTTTTATACCAACTCTGATTTTAAAAACTTTCATTATGCTGTAATACTTTAGCATTTATGAAGACGATATAATAAATTCTGAATATAGACAAAAACATTTTGTTAAACAATTTCATTTTATTCTAAAGTAATTATTTATTTGTTTTGACATTTATAATTAAATGTGTAGATATATACATATTTATATTAAGAGAGTGATTTTTTCCCCTATTTCACTTGTCTTAAATAATTTCCCAGGAATTATTATGTAAGAATTTTTTTTACAAGAATTACAAAACAGATTGTGTTACGTTCATGGTTTTTGGTTGTAGTGTGTATATTTTTGTTTTGTTTAGATTGATACACTTTTTGTTTTGTCGGCCTACATTGTGTGTTTTTTCTTATTTCTTCAGAGTGCTACTTTCAATTTATTTTACATCATAGCGAAGTAATGACATACAGCTAGTAATTATATATATATATATATATATATATATATATATATATATATATATATATATATATATATATATATATATATATATATATATATATATATATATATATATATATATATATATATAATACATGTATATATAATACATGTATATAGAACGTGTACAAAATTCGTCGCCTTTTTTTGTTCTTTTCGCTCCCCCTACAACGAAAACCTGGATACGCCTCTGAGGGGGGGGGGGGTCTGGCTTTTTGTGACGATGTGTGAAGAAGGGGAGGGGGGAGGTAAAAATCGTCAAAAAAGCGTTACGTCATTGATGTATGACCCCCTACTCTAAAAACTAGATCTACGTTTATTCTTAATAATAAACTCAGTATAGTAATAACACGATCTCAATACGTTTAATGAACTTGGCAGATGCAAGTTTTTGGAGAAATCGGACCTTTACTTTCAACAAACAAATACTTAGCCCTGTTTATTTGAAGCTGTTTCAGAAGGATATAGACAAGCAATTAAAGAAGCTGGGGAAATGACCAACATGGGGTTGGGGTGGGAAGGGGTGGGTTAGGTTTTTTTTCTTACTTTGATTACTTCCTTTTAATTGTCTGGGCCTATATAGCAGACGCTCCATGTCAAACGTCATGCTTGTTTTATAAAATGTTCTATAACATGTTCTGTAAGTGTGAACGCTAAAGTATACATGTTCTATGGAGAAAATTGTTCCAGATAAAAATAAATTTTGGCGGACTTTGTGTTCTGGAAATGTATAGTATACATGTCGTAAGTGTAAACGCGGTATAAGTTTAGAATTATAAACACAACCGAAACAAACAAAAACAGTAGGCATATTTCTTTATATTTTATGAATTATTTTTTTATAATTGTATTTATTTTGTCAGAACTTCAGAAATAAACAAATTTAAAATAGAGTCTATAGATCTATATGTAATAAATGTGCACTATTTTATTTAGATTCTACTTGAGCGGGGGCAGTGGCGGCACTAGAAAAAATGGGCCACCCCGCAAAATTGTTTGGCCCCCCCCCCATTTATATATATATATATACATATATATATATATATATATATATATATATATATATATATATATATATATATATATATATATATATATATATATATATATATATATATATATATATATATATAAACACACAATACGAACATAGGATACTCATTTCTGGCCTGATCGGGTTTTGAAAAAAAAAATTCTATTAAATCTAATCACAACAATATGTCATGTGTATGAGAGCATTGGTCTGTTTTGGATAATCTCTGTTTTCATTTATGTTTGCCTCATTACTTCTAATCATTAAGTCGGTCAAAAGTAAATAAACCATGAAGCTTTGTATAAGTAATGGTGTCTCGTGTTATGATTATTTTTATGTTTCTTTTTTTGTATTTATATTATTAGTTTTAACTACATTTCATTATTATACTATACCATTCTTTAGTACTTATTTTAAAAAAAATAATAATTAAGATAAGTAATTGCTGTTTAATTTGATTATTACAAATCTATTAAAAGGAGCTTATAAACACCCCTATTTGGCTATTTGAAAAAAGGGAAATAATTTATGGAAGTGGTTTGAACGTTTGCCTATCTTTCACACTACAGCTCATGTGTATATTTTTTAAAAAAAATTTTACGCAACAGCATGTCTTAGCTACTATATAATATCACTACTGTATTATATCTGTTATCTGTCTGTTATTTACAAAACCACTATCAAGGTGCCAGTGACGAAAGTAATATATATATATATATATTCATCAACTTCCTAAAGTTTTATGGCACTCTGATAAACGGTGTCTAGCTGTATCCGATTTTCATTTTTTTTTTAAATTTGTCGTATATAGAGAAAAGTCGAACCCTCCCGGGGCGCCGCCCTTGCGAAATTAAAATAGATTTGTTTTGCAGAAACCTTCCCTGGAGTGTCCATATCAACTACACAAAGTTTAACGGCGGTCGCTGTGAAACCGCAATCGACTTTTTATTTTTATATACCGAATATAGAGAAAAGACAAATCGCGCCCTACCGGGGCGCCACCCCTGCGAATTTGAAATTTTTATTTTCGCAGAAACCTCCCCAGGAATGTTCTCATCATTTCCCAAAAGTTTCACGGCGATGTGATGAGAGGTGTAGTAATGCATAAAGGACAGACAGACACACATTCATTGCTTTTTATATAGATTGATAGACGTGCTTCTCGGAATGCGCCGTTGGTCAAGATTCAGCTTATAAATAGGTGTAAGGTTTAGGGGCATAACTACGACTATATTTAGTATCAATATGCAGTAAATCAGGTTAAAATGCCGATTCTGGATAAAAATCAGTTTTCAATGACATTTTTCGTTTCCGATTAAATTTGAAGTTGAGGTGGCGATTTTGGTTTTGAGAAAAAGACAACACTATCAACTTAATGCTCGTTGTATTTCTCCCTCAACGGGTCAAATATCTCGTATCAAATAATGATCTTCCCTCAGCGCACAGCACGTGTGGCGGTAGCACTTTGGAGTAGAAATTCACGAAAATAATAAGCTTCGGTAAAAAATAAATAAATAAGCCAATGCTTTCATGATATTTGCCAACGGCAAGTAGTTCTTACTCTACTTCGGGTTTCTTGAAAGCCGATAACTTGTGTACCGTTTAAGTACGGTGGTCAACATTTAGCAGACAAGGACAGCATTGTATGCGCAGATTTTGTCAACTTTTCTAGGATTCCCGGGAATGGAAACTGGTACTTCACTCGGTTTATATATATGTGAACGCATTAACTTAGAAATACGAAATTTCACATTCAACATCCTATACTTGGCACACTTTCTATTTTTAAGTGACCTACAGTCACCTGAAGTTGTACTATACTCACTTTCAGGTTTCTAAAATACCAATAGCACACACACAGATATCTCTCTCTCTCTCTCTCTTTATATATATATATATATCGTGCGGCGTCAATTCGGCCAATGACAAAACGGCCCCGTCAAAACGACCAGCGACATATGGACCCCGTCATATAGGCTCCCGACAAATAGGCTCCCGTTATATAGGCTCCCGACAAAAGGGCTCCAGTCAATAAGGCTCCCGACAAATAGGCTCCCGTCATTTAGTTTTTTCCACAAAACGGCCCCCGTCATTACGACTCCCGACAAATAGGCTCCCGCTATTTAGTTTCTCCACAAAACGGCCCCCGTCATTACGACTCCCGACAAATAGGCTAGCGTCATTTTGGCTCACGACAAAAAGGCTCCTGTCAATTTGGCTCCAGACAAAAGGATCTCTGATAATACCGTTTCTGTAGAGACTAAGTCGCCCGGCAAAGCGGTCTCATTGAATATGACACCTGCCAGATATAGATAAAAATATTTTTTGCGGGGTGGCCCATTTTTTCTAGTTCCGCCACTGAATACAACGCATGCATCTCTTGTTCGGCAGGCCTTATTTTTATATTAGTTTATCTATTATAAAATATAGTATGTTTTAATTTAAGGGTCATCTATCTATGACATCCATAATTGAGTCGATAGGCTGTTCCAACTCAGTGTGTGGGGAGAAGGGTCCACGCTATACCCTCCTACCTGCAGTATGCTTGTAGGTTATCAAAACAAGATGCTGTTATCATGTAAACATCATGTATATCATACATTTACACTTCTGTGCTCGCTTTTAAAGCAACAGATATTTTCTGTTGTAAATTAAACATCAAAACTTTAGAATTGGTGGAATTTAGCTGTTAATGGCTCGATTTGTTTGTGAATTAATGTTGGTTCATGAAAAACAATTTCGTTCGGGCATTCAAAAGAATTTATAGTGGTATTGGAGGTAGGACAAAATGGTTACTTTTATGCCAATTGTGGTCATGCCATTCATTGGTCTGGAGCCAATATGTCGGGAGTCATTTTGTCAAAAGCCAATAAGTCGGGAGCCCATTTGTCGGTAGCCAATATGTCGTGAGCCCATTTGTCTTGAGTCCTTATGTCGGGAGCCAATATGTCCTGAGCCTATTTGTCAGGGGTTAATATGTCGGGAGCCCATTTGTCGGGAGCCTATATGTCGCAAGTCAATATGACGGGAGCCCATAAGTCGGGGCCCTTTTGACGGGGCTATTTTGACGGGGTAGGTTTGTCGGGAGTTGATTTGACGGGGTCATATGAACGGGGCCGATTTGTCCCAGGTCGTTTTGACAGGACACCATATATATATATATGTGCGTGTGGTTATTTATAAATGTGCAGTACATATTAATAGTATTTATCAAATATTTGATTCTAGACATAATTTAACATTCTTGAACGAAAATCCATGCCAGTAGCTATGTTTCCATTTTGTTTGTTTGTCCTCTCATGATAAATCAGTCTTGCTTTGAGTCGGCACATTCACACAAACATTGCCACAAACCTGTCTGTCAGTTTCACAAATCTATCATTGACACTGAGAAAATTATAACCAATGAAAGATGATACAATGTAGTGACTTTTTACTATGAATAGAATAATTCCTTCCAACACATTGACATAATAAGAAAAATGTATTTTTTTAAAACCAGTGAAACAAAAATCATTTTTTTGTGTCTGCCTCCACAGCTGGGGGGTGTTCAAGGACAGTATCTATTAATCCAAATTCTAAGGCTTCAGATGGACTCATAAAGCGATCACGCTCCATACTTTTTTCTGGGGAAGATTATAATACATGTCTGTGTACCAAGGTTAACATTAAAAGGATAAAAGTAAGCCTGCAACCCCCGTTAGAGTAAAAGTATGGGTCACTATATTTAAAAGTAAGCCTGCAGCCCCAGTTAGAGGAAAAGTATGGGTCACTATATTTAAAAGTAAGCATGCAACCGCCGTTAGAGGAAAAGTATGGGTCACTATATTTAAAAGTAAGCATGCAACCCCAGTTAGAGGAAAAGTATGGGTCACTATATTTAAAAGTAAGCATGCAACCCCCGTTAGAGGAAAAGTATGGGTCACTATATTTAAAAGTAAGCATGCAACCCCCATTAGAGGAAAAGTATGGGTCACTATATTTAAAAGTAAGCATGCAACCCCCGTTAGAGGAAAAGTATGGGTCACTATATTTAAAAGTAAGCATGCAACCCCAGTTAGAGGAAAAGTATGGGTCACTATATTTAAAAGTAAGCCTGCAACCCCCGTTAGAGGAAAAGTATGGGTCACTATATTTAAAAGTAAGCCTGCAACCCCCATTAGAGGAAAAGTATGAGTCACTATATTTAAAAGTAAGCCTGCAACCCCAGTTAGAGGAAAAGTATGGGTCACTATTTTTAAAAGTAAGCCTGCAACCCCAGTTAGAGGAAAAGTATGGGTCACTATATTTAAAAGTAAGCCTGCAACCCCAGTTAGAGGAAAAGTCTGGGTCACTATATTTAAAAGTAAGCCTGCAACCCCCGATAGAGGAAAAGTATGGGTCACTATATTTAAAAGTAAGCATGCAACCCCAGTTAGAGGAAAAGTATGGGTCACTATTTTTAAAAGTAAGCCTGCAACCCCAGTTAGAGGAAAAGTATGGGTCACTATATTTAAAAGTAAGCCTGCAACCCCAGTTAGAGGAAAAGTATGGGTCACTATATTTAAAAGTAAGCATGCAACCCCCATTAGAGGAAAAGTATGGGTCACTATATTTAAAAGTAAGCATGCAACCCCCGTTAGAGGAAAAGTATGGGTCACTATATTTAAAAGTAAGCATGCAACCCCAGTTAGAGGAAAAATATGGGTCACTATATTTAAAAGTAAGCCTGCAACCCCCGTTAGAGGAAAAGTATGGGTCACTATATTTAAAAGTAAGCCTGCAACCCCAGTTAGAGGAAAAGTATGGGTCACTATATTTAAAAGTAAGCATGCAACCCCAGTTAGAGGAAAAGTATGAGTCACTATATTTAAAAGTAAGCCTGCAACCCCAGTTAGAGGAAAAGTATGGGTCACTATATTTAAAAGTAAGCATGCAACCCCCGTTAGAGGAAAAGTATGGGTCACTATATTTAAAAGTAAGCATGCAACCCCCGTTAGAGGAAAAGTATGGGTCACTATATTACCAATTAGATACCTTTACTAATATTTAGGAAAAGACCCACGCTTTTCTTTATAGTTATTAAAATAGTAGTATATTATAATATTTTTAAAGAAAATCATTTACTTTCTCCTTTTTACTGCATTATAACATAAAAGCTTGATAATAAACGTTTTTTATGCATTTTTTCAGTTCTTTAAAATGCTTAAAACAATAGAGATGCATGATTAAAAACTATTGCGCAGCTAATGAACACGATAATGCGCGTATAATAGTGCGGGATAGTAGTAGTAGCAGAGGCGTAGCGAGGTGGGGGGGGTGGGGGTGGGGGGAGCGGGGTACATATGTCCCTGGGCACCGACCCTAGGGGACACCAAAATGAGTTGAAAAAAAAATAAAAGCTCATTTTAGCTGCAGTTTTGCATTATAAATATAAAAAATAATGGGGGGGGGGGGGGGAGGGGTGCGCCCAATTGAAGGTTTGCAATATCCCAGCTACTAAAGGTAAGTTCAATATCCCAGCTACTTAAAGTAGTAAGTTCAATATCCCAGCTACTAAGGTAAATTTAATATCCCAGCTACGAAAGGTAAGTTCAATATCCCAGCTACTAAGGTAGATTTAATATCCCAGCTACTAAAGGTAAGTTCAATATCCCAGCTTACCAATCAGTTCTAATGGTTGTTTGGTGTGCCTAACATACAATCTGTTGATCTGTTTCTTCAACTTTAAAATTTCTTCTGCCTGAATTTGAATGTCAGTTGCTTGGCCCTAAAAAATAAAGTGTTTAAACAAATTAGAAAAATACTCTAAATCAGATTTAAAGTAATTGCAACCATATCGTATGAGTTCAACTGATGATAAAACCACTTTGTCCAGTGTTTCTTCCAGGGTGGGGGAGGGGTGGACACTATTAAAAGTAGATATTTTCTACATAAATTCCATTTCTTTCAGGGGGGGGGGGTGTTGGTTAGGCGAGATGCCTGGAAGAAACTCTGATTTTGTCCTATTGAAACTCTAACCATTTGAGGTCAAGAAAAAACTTACTGCAGCTTGCCCTGAAGGTTGGTGAATCATGACACGTGAGTTGGGCAGAGAGTGGCGCAGGCCTGGGGCACCAGAACACAGCAATAAGGAGGCCATGCTACAGGCTTGACCCACACACCATGTGGCTATAGGAGGCTGCACATACTGCATGGTGTCATAGATACCAAGACCAGCAGTCACTGAGCCACCTGAAAAGTAATCAGCCAGCCTTACTCTCTACATCTGCTGGGTAGCCAGCCTTACTCTCTACATCTGCTGGGTAGCCAGCCTTACATCTGCTGGGTAGCCAGCCTTACTCTCTACATCTGCTGGCTAGCCAGCCTTACTCTCTACATCTGCTGGGTAGCCAGCCTTACTCTCTACATCTGCTGGGTAGCCAGCCTTACTCTCTACATCTGCTGGGTAGCCAGCCTTACATCTGCTGGGTAGCCAGCCTTACTCTCTACATCTGCTGGCTAGCCAGCCTTACTCTCTACATCTGCTGGGTAGCCAGCCTTACTCTCTACATCTGCTGGGTGTGTTTGGGCAAAGAATGTAGCCTAAGCATGTGTGGCGGGTGAGCAGAAAAAATTCACAGAAAAAAGTCATAAAAGATAATTTATGGGAAAAAAGTCACAAAAATAAAGTTACAAAAAAAAAAAAGCACAGAAACGTTCTAAAAAACATTAATTGACGGTGAGAATTATAAAATTGTTGGTGTAGAAATATATTGATTGACTTGTTGAGAATTATAAAATTGTTGGTGTAGAAATATATTGATTGACTTGTTGAGAATTATACAATTGTTGGTGTAGAAATATATTAATTGACTTGGTGAGAATTAGAAAATTGTTGGTGTAGAAATATATTGATTGACTTGGTGAGAATTAGAAAATTGTTGGTGTAGAAATATATTGATTGACTTGGTGAGAATTAGAAAATTGTTGGTGTAGAAATATATTGATTGACTTGGTGAGAATTAGAAAATTGTTGGTGTAGAAATATATTGATTGACTTGGTGAGAATTAGAAAATTGTTGGTGTAGAAATATATTGATTGACTTGGTGAGAATTAGAAAATTGTTGGTGTAGAAATATATTAATTGACTTGGTGAGAATTAGAAAATTGTTGGTGTAGAAATATATTGATTGACTTGGTGAGAATTAGAAAATTGTTGGTGTAGAAATATATTGATTGACTTGGTGAGAATTAGAAAATTGTTGGTGTAGAAATATATTAATTGACTTGGTGAGAATTATAAAATTGTTGGTGTAGAAATATATTGATTGACTTGGTGAGAATTAGAAAATTGTTGGTGTAGAAATATATTAATTGACTTGGTGAGAATTATAAAATTGTTGGTGTAGAAATATATTGATTGACTTGGTGAGAATTATAAAATTGTTGGTGTAGAAATATATTGATTCACTTGGTGAGAACATTTTAGGAATTTATATATGTAGATGGTGATTTTAAAAAAAAAAATAATTTATAAACTTTAAAAGCATTAGGCCTATGGTTTATAATAATAATCCAATGTTTACCTTCTTAATAAGTAAAAATACCATAACAATTAACAGCAACCTCAAATTTACTACATATTTATTTGAATTAATTAGAAAAGAAATTGAGGATTATAATTGTTTTCTGTGTTTTTTTGTCTTAGGTCTTTCCTCTGTCTGTTCACATTGTACTTGTTGATGACTGTGTCAATGACAAACTTCGTACAGTGTTGGCTTTAGACATGAACCTATACTTTGTTATGTAATGAGTGTGATAAATGTGGGCAGTTAAAGATGGTTGAACTATTGCGATGAATCGAGGATAGCAAATATGTTAACTATGTCTTCACCACATTTCACACTAATTAAAATTAAGTATTAAAAAAACAGGATGAAAACTAATTAGGTTGGACCAGGGGTTCCCAACCCTGTGCCCGCAGGCATCATGGCGCCCGCCGAACGATTCGTATGTGCCCATCTCTCACTATTCGACAGAGACAGAATTTTTTTCATAAACATTATTGAAAGGTTGAAGGGGATGGAAAGCGAAAGTTTGAGGAGGGGGGGGGGGGGTGCAAATCGAAACTTTGAGGGGGGGGGGGGGTGCAAATAGAAAGTTTTGTCCCCGGGTGTCGGGAAGGGTCGCTACGCCTCTGGAAGGAGTTTGTCAATTTAAAATAGGTGGTGCCCGCCACCCTACCGATATTTTAGAATGTGCTCCAGAGTAAAAAAAGGTTGGGAACCCCTGGGTTGGACCATTGTATTAAATTCTACTTAATTCTATTAAATGTTATATGTGTAATTGAATTAAAACTTGTACTTAAGACTATGCAATTTTTCTTGTAATTGAATGTTACAAACTATGCACATATATCTAAATGTTTAGTCCTATATTACATTTAACCAATCATTAGGTTGATTTCTGAATTCTTAATACATAAAAGTATTAAAATATTCAATGCAAAAACATATTTAAGACAATTTTTTCCTATGTCTTCATTTCCTGTGACTTTTTTCCTACAATCACGTGGTGTGTGACTAATGTAGCCATGAATGGTGTGTGTGGTTTGTGTGACTTAGGTCATGTGACTTAGGTCATGTGACTCACCTGGACTGTTGATATACATATGAATGGGTTTTTTGCTACTCTCTGATTGTAAAAATAGGAGCTGCGCCACCACTAGACTTGAGAGTTCATCATGGATCTGCAGCAGACATCAGACATTTTTATATGGCATGAAATCATGCAGACAAGTATGCACCTGCCTATTACTTATTAATATTACAGGAGGGCAAAAAATAAAAAGTGGTGGTTGAATTCTAGCCTAATGACATAACTAAAAGTTAGAAATTTGGTGAAAACCCTAACCCCATTGCTCTACACATTATCTTCCACACTACTGTCCCTCTGGATTTTCTCACTGACATTGTTTGTTTACATCTGAACACTTCAAGCCAAGGTAAACAATTTCCCCAGCACTGACAACCTCTGACTAACATCCATTCAAATCTATTTGAACAAAAACTAGCGTACCCATCTGGCGTGTTCTTGCAGTCTCTAAAGAAAGCTTGACAATATTTTAAGAGGATTTCACCAATTTGTTGCCAATTGTATATTTTTAGAAGAATGACCTTGTTTTCTAAAACTGTTATTTAAATGTAAACAAGGCTGGTGCTATATTTCTTGGATCCTAGTTATTGAGCACAGTTTGACCAGACGACCACCCAGATGCCCCAGGATGTGCTGTACACAAGCCTTGAGAATTGTTCAATCACATCTCTGCAACAGCACAAGTGACTGAGGCACTATCTATAGCCACCAGTTATAGCCCAAGTGACTGACGCACTATCTCTAGCCACCAGTTATAGCCCAAGTGACTGACGCACTATCTCTAGCCACCAGTTACAGCCCAAATGACTGACGCACTATCTCTAGCCACCAGTTATAGCCCAAGTGACTGACGCACTATCTCTAGCCACCAGTTACAGCCCAAGTGACTGACGCACTATCTCTAGCCACCAGTTACAGCCCAAATTGACTGACGCACTATCTCTAGCCACCAGTTACAGCCCAAGTGACTGACGCACTATCTCTAGCCACCAGTTACAGCCCAAGTGACTGACGCACTATCTCTAGCCACCAGTTACAGCCCAAATTGACTGACGCACTATCTCTAGCCACCAGTTACAGCACAAGTGACTGACGCACTATCTCTAGCCACCAGTTACAGCCCAAGTGACTGACGCACTATCTCTAGCCACCAGTTACAGCCCAAGTGACTGACGCACTATCTCTAGCCACCAGTTACACCACTGCCACAGAGTCGGGTTTAATCACTGCATGCAGTGTAAGAACTAAGTGTTGCAGAAACCTCTCTAGGCTCATGTAGTAATGGATAAAAGACAAACACACTAACAGAAAGACCCACAAACATACTTTCATTTATATATCCAGATGGGAGTATGTTTGTTTGTGTTTTAAGCATTAGTTGTTGAGAATACTCATGGGAAGGTTTCTACAATAAAAAAATGTAATTTTGGTGCAGGGTGGGTTACTAAATTGAATGACCAGAACGAACCAGGGTCGTCATTAGAGTACAGTTGGGCCCTCCATTTCTCAGTGAGCAGTCAGGTTATCTCATGAGCATTCAATGAGTCCAGTGGACAAAAAGTTGTACCAGTGATGCCCATGAAACCTAGGCAGTCACCAAGGGTTGTTTTAGATCACTATTAAAGGGGGGATGATTAACTTACACTCAAAGCTTTCATACAGCAATCTGGGGGGGGGGGGGGGGGGGTGTCTAAAAGTGACTATTTTGTTTACACTTAAATAACTCAATCTTAGAAAACAAGGTCACACGTCTAAAAATAACATTCCGTAAAGCGCTGATGGAACCCTTTTAAAATGTTTCGTCACTGTTATGTTGGACTAGATTGCATACCCAGTATGGGTCATGTGCAAATATATGGAAATCAAGATTCTAATCTTACTCACACTGGTCCCATGATTCTAATCTTACACACACTGGTCCCATGATTCTAATCTTACACACACTGGTCCCATGATTCTAATCTTACACACACTGGTCCCATGATTCTAATCTTACACACACTGGTCCCATGATTCTAATCTTACACACACTGGTCCCATGATTCTAATCTTACACACACTGGTCCCATGATTCTAATCTTACACACACTGGTCCCATGATTCTAATCTTACTCACTGGTCCCATGATACATATTATCCTTTCTTTCAGCAATCTTGAAAATATGTCATAAGCTCTTTCACCCCGTCCAGTTTGCTCTATGACGATGGGGACCATAGGGAAATATCTCTGTATGGATGTGTGGAGTTGACACTTTGGAAAACATGGCAGAAAGTACCTTGAGACCTTTTGAAAGATATAATTTTGTACATTATAGTTTTATTGTAGTATAGTATACAACAAGACACTGAAGTAAGGATTAGACCTAAGTAGTACAAACCTTTCATTTACACTCAATTGTGTAAAAAATAAATTGGGTTAAGTTAATCAAATGCTTCCATCAAAACAAATATATTAAGGACTAAATTTCAGTAATACAGTTAACATTTAATGGTATTTTAATGGCATTTTGGAATTATTTTTCACGGTATTTCCAAAGTTTGGTAAGAGGCAGTAAACAAATTACAGTAGGTCTACAGTCTTATTATTTTGTTAATGTTATATTACATTAACTTTTTCATAATCCACTTTTACTTTTGTTATACATGCCACAAAATGTTTCAATATTCACTTTTAAAAGCTTTTTTTCATGTGTGATTTTTGTGTGACTTGACACACATTTCTAACCAGAAAATTCCCTGCTATTCCAAGAAATTCCCAGCTATATTTCATATAATTTTCAACATGCATAACCATTGAATTTTTTGGGTGCCACTCCTTCATATAAGTTACTTAAGTTCAATCTCAAAACCCTTAAACTTAATTGACAAAACTTACTTTCCGAGACATTAGATTTGTGTATCAATTTATATTATACATTCCTTTAGTCATCTTAACTTTATAATGATCTTTAAACATTAAATTCTAGAACCTCCCCCCTGAAAAAAAGCAACTGCTTATGTTAAAACAATTAAATATGAATATAGTGAGTTAAGCTGCTAGTAGTCGGACTTTGAAGCCTACTCTAAAAAGTTGTAGAAATGTACACTGATGTATTCCTGCTGTTACATATCTAGGTATTTAATTGGAGCACTCTCTAGATTGTCTTCACTAAAGAGAGCAGTCTAAAGTGTAAAGGTATTCATGCAGCCATCAAACTGTTAACAGCATTAAGACAAGAACTTTGAAAAATCCCTCGCACATATAATTAATACCTTAAGTTAATAAGTTAGTCTGTTACTATGAAATAACACTGAAAGTCCTTTAATTCGTAGTAAACAGTTTTTTAAAATAATTTTACAAGTTTACAAAAATGAAAATAGTTTTTTTTTCAAAATTATTTGAACTGTAATGATCATTTGCACATTTAATTATTGTTTTTTTTTAAAACACCCAACTATTGGCTTACTCATACTGTAAAAGTGTAAAGTCACTGTCTGTAAAGTGTTAACTATACTATACTATGCACAGTTAACTTGAGTTAACTATATAATATAGAATTATGTTTTTTTTTCTACCTGGAGCATTTTGCTTCTCGCAATCTGCATTTCAGAACTGTAGCAGGTAGATTATCTTCACTTCTAGAAGTAGAAGTTAGTCTAGATTTAGAATAATCTAGATCTAGATCTTTCTTTCTAGATCTAGTTTGAATAAAAGAAAATGGTAAATTTTAAATTAATGGTAATGACTAATGGTAATCTATCGTTTTGGGTATGTAAAATCGCCCGCTGCTATTAATGTACGAAAACGTTACCTCATTGTCAAGGCTTTAATAGAACTATATTGTGATATATTTGTGTCAATTATGATAGATAAATGAATGATAAACCTAAATCAATGGTTAAATATAATAAAATTAATAATATATCGATAGAGGCCAGAAATTAACTTTAAACAGCAGTGTCAGTCTGAGAGCAAGATTTGCTATATAAACAGCAGCCATTTGTAAAATAGAGTCGCTTCCCCTTGAATCTCAAGCTATAAGCTTATAAAAATAAAACAAGATGGCTGCTATAGAGTCCTTGCAAACACGTGACCTAAATCACGTGATACCTACGCCCGCCGCCACAGTGGTGTACATCAGACGTAAACACAATCAGCTGTTCGCCAGCGCTGGACGTGTTCACCAGCGCTGGACGTGTTCACTGTATGTAAAGAACCGCACCCGCGGAAAAGGAAAAATATGTTAAAAAACTTGAACTCTTAGGAATTGAAGATCTTTATACTGTTATTGACAGTTTCGTGGATAATATAAATATGTGGACAAAATTTCTAAATAAAAATACTGTTAGTAATACAGTTTGCGTTTAGAGTTTAAGTAGACGAAGCTGATCAAATGCAGTAATATATTATAGGTTTTCTACTGTAGCAAACGTGAGACCACTTAACTTCTACAAAACCCACACTACAACGGCTAATATAATCCATGGGTAATAACCAATCTGGGTAGCATGTTATACAATTTAAGACCCTTATAATCCAGCAGGAAAGTAATCAGACACATTAATACTGACGTTCAACCCTCATGATGGCTGCCCCCACCTGTATCTAGCCCACAATAAAACCAAAGAGGAGTCTGCCCTGCCCTCCCCTGAAAATGTCTCACCTCCGTGATACCCAGCCCCACAGAGATAGTATTTCTTATATAATTTTGACCCTCAGGGCCCAGCAGGGAGAACAAAGGGGAAAGTCCCACTGCTCTCCCCTCAACATTTCTCACCTCGGTGTCATGTTATGTCATTTATAGCACACATGGCTTATCAGGGGAAAGCATTAAGGCATTAAGAATCTTAACTCTGGACAGCTACACACTAGTATACTAGCTACACACTAGGTGCCTACTGTAAACTACTAGACTGTAGGCCCTATGTAGACCTGCAATTGTATCAATTGTAGACTAGGTCCATTGTTATTATTCTAAACCATCTCACTTATAATGTTTCTAGCTTGATTTGTTTCTTTTATAAACAGTGGATTTAAAAAAAAATTAGCCTAATCATTAACTCATTAACCAAATAATAATAATGTGGTTATTTGTTGTTGGCTGGTATGATCTAGATTGTACTACTAGGCTACAAAAACTTAGTAGACCAATTACTAGATATGAATTTGAATTTAATTAAACTCAGTCCAGTATCAGATACATATTGCTGTAAAAAGACAACAAAGTAGGTAGGCCTTAGTAATTTATTAAAGCCTTCTACTACAATAATATCAACTACATGCTTGTATAAAGTTTTTACAATTTAATTTAAGTAGCAGATTCTAGATCTAAGTCTAGTCATACAATCTATTTCAATTTCAGAAAATTTCGTTTGCTAAAAAAATGATTAGATAATAGAGCGAGATTTTAGATCTTAGAGACAATTAAATGCTTTATTAGGCCTATTATGACTACTTTTGATTTATTATGGGTGTATTTTGAATCGAATGTAGATCTAAAGTAATTAAATTTAAGTAAAGAAGTAGATTCTAGATTCTATGTCTACCCAGCGGAGCCAGGTATTAGGCCTACTATTAGATCTTATTATTCTTATTATTACTTTTGACTTTGTCTTTTACTATTAGTATTTGTGAAGGTCGAGCATATTTGTTTTATTAATAGTTATCTTTTATAATTAAAAATGAAGTTTATTATTTTACTGTCCTTACCTGAAACAAAGTATCGAGAACTGCATTTGATCAGATTCGTCTACTTTAACTCTAAACGCAAACAGTATTACTAACAGTATTTTTATTTAGAAAATTTGTCCACATATTTATATTATCTACGAAACTGTCAATAACAGTATAAGGATCTTCAATTCCTAAGAGTTCAAGTTTTTTAACATATTTTTCCTTTTCCGCGGGTGCGGTTCTTTACATATAGTGAACGCGTCCAGCGCTGGTGAACACGTCCAGCGCTGGCGAACAGCTGATTGTGTTTACGTCTGATGTACACCACTGTGGCGGCGGGCGTAGGTAGCACGAACGGACGTGACGTCATATGAAAGGACTCTATAGTAAATGAGCATGGTTGCATCTGTTTGAAACATCGCTAGTCTACATTTTAAAAACAGGTAGGCCTAGTACATAAATGAAACGAGGCAACATGTTTGTATTTTAAAAAAAACATAGATCTAAATCTTCCTCAAAATGTGAAATAATTATTAAAATTTATTAAATTTAAGGAGTCACCTGTTTTTCACATTACAAGTCGCTTACTTTACTTTATTTTTAAGTACCCAAAACGATAGATTACCTGACTAATGACTCGTAATGAGGCCTATCTAGTAATAAGTATCTACTCATAGGCTAATATCTCTAGAATCTAGATTTAGGTAAAATCTTAGTTTAGCGTCGTAAATTCGGCCAAAACTAGTAATGTGGGAGAGAGTGAATTAATGAATATGTCATTAAATATGAGTATATTTTCGTATATTTTAATAAAATATTATAAATAATTGAATAATAGATCACCATTGATGGTTAAATCAATTTAAATATCCTGAAATTAATTTTTATCAACCCTGTTCGAGATAGTAAATTTGCTATTAAAAACAGCAGCCATCTTAAGAAAATGTTATTGAGAGTAGCTTCCCTTTCATTTCTATTCATATGAAAATGTATTTAAATATGATCGTCTTGTTGTATAGTCCGTATTACAAAGCATTTTTACTTTCTCGTATATACGAAGTATAGAGAAAGTCTTGTAATCGTGCAAAAAAAAAAAATCGAGATTTTTGCAAATCTCGACGTTTTGCATCTCACTGATAGGGAAAAACATAATTTTGCCATCTTGTCCGTATGTCTGTGTGTCTGTGTGTGTGTGTGTGTGTGTGTGTGTGTCCGTGTGTAAACACGATAACTTGAGTACCGTTACAGCTAGGTTGATGAAATTTCATATATAAGTATTTTATCAAAATCGTAGATCCGTATCAACTTTTGAGCGATTTCCGACAACCGGAAGTGGTACTTTTTCTACTTTGAATTTTTCAAAAGCCTATAACTTGAGTACTATTTCAGATAGATAAATAAAATTTCATACGTAAGTAAAAGATCTAATTCTCTACCTTCTATTAAATTTCGAGTCATTTCCGTTGACTGGAAGTAGTACTTTACGCTACTTCCGATTTCTCAAAAAACTAATGTAAATTTTAAAAGTAATAATAATATTGCGCACTATTATGCGCTTTTTTATTTCGCGTTCACTTGGTGTGCAATTAATTTGTCTACGAGATTTTATTCTATTTTTAAAACTTTAAGTATTTAAAATGGATTAAAAATCATGTCTATAGCCCGAGTTCCCATTCCCTGTTATTTTATATAAGAATATTCGAGAAAGTTTAGGGGAGATCACTCCCGGTTTATTTTAAATGTGAATTTCCTAACAAACAACTTTATTAATTCTAGAAGCATTGTGAGATGCAACTTGTATCCATGTATTAAATCACGTTTTTTCTTACTCAGAGGCGTAGCGACCCTTCCCGGGACAAACTTTTCGATTTGCACCCCCCCCCTCAAACTTTCGATTTGCCCTCCCCTCAACCTTTCAATTTATTTTTCCAACCCATTTTGGCGCCCCCTAAGGTCGGCGCCCGGGGACATATGTCCCCCCCCCCCCGTCCCCCTCGCTACGCTACTGATCTTACTATTACTAAATAGTTGTGAGTTTTTTCTTATTGTTTGAATGTTCACTATTTTCATTTCAGGTTTTTCTTTTCATCAGTTAGTAATTCTATCGTAACTTATGACATTTTTTTTTTTTACTTCTCTTTACCTTAATTAAACCCCAACCTCCGTCATATTTTTGTCGGCAATGTCACAACAAGTCATAATGTAAAAAATTACGCTTCACTCTGCCTTATCTAAGATCTCTAACCATAATTTTGACAACATTAAATGTTTGTCATCATTTACATATACAAAGAGACCAAATGTATTATCCACCAGCTTCCCTCGTAAAACATCATCTAAAACAATGAGCCCGTCCACCCCTTAAGCGCGTGTTGTCATTATGGTCGATCCCAAGTCTCCACCTGTCAGACACATTTTGGTTATCCTTTGTTGTCAAATCGTCAATATCAAGTACACAAGTGAGTGATATGGGGTTGTCCATAAATGATGTCACAATGATGTCACATATGATTTGCTACGGGAGTGAGTGAAGATTTGTGACGTCAACTCAGGCGGCTTTGCAATTTATGACGTGTCGGTCTCATGAAAGGAGGTGAACGGGGAAAAATACCTAGGTGATTGATGGAGAACCTCTATAATGCTTTGTTCAATCAAAATAACGATAAATAAGCATTAGTATACGTATACCTTGCTTAAAACACAAATGTCGCAAGCCTGCTAGTTTAAGACATTCGGCAAAACGTCCGCAACACATTATCCCCGTCAAAAAGGCTTGCCACCAAATGCCTGCCGACGAATAAGCCGTGTCTAATGCGGGGCGTTAGGAATACGGCCATTAGCATGGGCCACGTTAGAGCACCAGTAAGCTATCGCGCTTTGTAAGATGACGTAAATACTTAAATTCAATTTCGCTAAACTGCGCGAAAATTTAGTAATGTTCCATCGTTTGAGGAAATTTATTTTCTTGGACTTAAATTGAAATATGTTGACTGTCTGGTCTGGCTCTTAATTTCCGAATATCACTTTTAATGTATCAAGATTCAGAACTATAATTTACTTTAATATAAGTGTCATCTTATCGTTTATTGTGGTTTTTAAAAAGCGCAGAGCAGCTACAAAATCGGACGGCCATCCTGTTTTCACCAAGCTTCTTTTGGAGCTTAATATGGGTAGTCTAGTGAGCTTAATACATTTTTAAAGGGCCGAAAGTCTCAAGACAGCAAGCTTGCAGAAATAACTACGTACGTTTAAATGGACGAGTGATAGATGTGTTAGGGGCTGTTTAATGAACACCAACTTATGTAATCAAACTAAACGTCGCGAAAGCGTCAAAAAGGCAATGCTTATTGTTTGTTTTTTCTATAAAATTAGCCTAACGGTCGGCGGTACCGCTACATGACGTCACGCGCGAGCGTTAACTCGGTGACGATGTGCTAAGTGGGGGAATGAAAAAGGTAGGGTTCAAGAAATGCGACTCGGCAAGCTTTTGACATTTCTTGACCTTTCTTAATAGTTATTTCGTCCCCACTGAGAAAATGGATCACCAATGAATGACGCGTCATACTTCTACAGCTGGTCTTTCTCCCACAACCATCCCGTTTTCACGAGAAAAAAAACCTGACCAGTCTCCAAAATCACATCGCTGAGTTCTACTCAACCTCTCCCCACCACAAATCACAATTTCTATCTGAAACAATATGTTCATATGTTTGCTCTGTAATAATGCACGCTGTCATTACTATCTTAAGAGCGACGTCATTTATGAGCGATCTAATATTGATTCTCTTACTGCAAATAAAGTGTTAAAAAGTTCGACCTCCCAACAATTGTTGTGGTCTTGGATGCACACTATTAAGTCTGATATGGTCTATTAGTCATTCATGTCAACTATATTTTTAAAAAAAGAAAAATTACTATACAGGGGGTCATCCATAAATGATGTCACGCTTTTTTTGACGATTTTTACCTCCCCCCCTCCCCCAAACGTAGTCACAAAAAGCCAGACCCCCCCCCTAAAATGACGTCACACCTCAGCCTACACCCCCCCCCCCCCCCTCAAAATTGCAGTTGAATTTTTTTTTAACAGCTATATTTTTCCAAAATCTTGTCTGAACTCTGTCAAAATAGAGTATTTTAATCAATTGTTATTACAATGTATTAAAACAGTTTTTTTAAAACGCAAAATAACGTCTAAAATTCGTTTTGTAACATTGCTTTTTTAAAATGCAAAAGTGTGATGTCGCACCATCTGAACCCCTCCCCCTCACACACAACGTCACAAAATTACGGGCCCCCCTCCCCCCTACGAGTGTGACGTCATTTATGGACGACCCCCGGCATATATTAAAACAATACAAAACAATCATATTAAACCACAAAATCAACACAAAAGACATGCGAATAGACAATTTATTGTTTTTAAAACATGGCCGCTGCTTGTATTTACTCATTGTTGTCTCGAACGGGGTAGTTTAAAGTTTATTCCAGGATATTTATGACTGGTTTGGTCTTGGATTGTGATTTGGTATTCAATTATCTGTTATATTATGTAAAATATGACATAAATATGGCCAAATGAAAGAAATATTCATTAGTTACCTTCATCGCACATTACTAGCTAAGTTGGAATTTACGACGCTAAACTAAGATTTTACCTAGATTTATTTCGATCTTGAGATTTAAATCAGTAAATCTAGATCTAGATTTATCTTTTATTATAGGTCTAATAATCTAGACTAGATAGTAGATACAGCTAGTAGTTTGACTACACAAGTCATTAGTCATTCATGAAGTAGATTAGATCTAACTTCATTGACAAAAGAGGGAGACGCTGAAACAACCTCACTTATTGAAGAGCTGTGGTATTTTTAGTTTCTAGATACCAAAAAAAATGGCGGCTTAACAACGATGTAAACAATCAATTCAATGGCTAACTTTCTTTTTAAGTTTGAGATTTAATTATTTAGACTTGCTTACTGGTAGACACCTTTCAACCAAAGAAACTGTCTCTTTAAAATGTCGTCATACATTAGAAGGCAGACGTATATGTTACCTGAGTAAGATGATATTATTTTAATTTTTTTTTTTAATAAATCTATCACTTTATCAAAATCACCGGTAATCTACTATCGTTTTGGGTACGTAAAATCGCCCGCGGCTATTAATGTACGAAAACGTTACCGCATTGTCAAGGCTGTAATAGAAGTATATTGTGATATGTTTGTGTCAAATATTATAGATAAATGAATAATAAACCTAAATCAATGGCTAAATATATTAATATAGGCCTGAAATTAACTTTAAACAGCAGTGTCTGCAAGCAAGATTTGCTATATAAACAGCAGCCATTTGTAAAATAGAGTGACTTCCGCCTGAATCTTGCGCTATAAGTCTATACAAATAAAACTTTGGTAATCCCTTAGTTTAGCGTCGGAAATTATCGGGTAATGTTTGTTGAGTTTCGGTAACTAGAGTTACGGTAAACCATGGTTTATTTGACCATTGAAATATAAATAAATTGAAAGTCGATTGTAGTAAATTAATGTTTTAATTTTTTAAGTTTAATCGACTAAAGGAAACAAGAATAAATATAATAGTAGATTTAAATTTGTAGATCTAAAAATAAAAAAACAAACATATAGGCTATTAATATAAATATAAATAATGAAGTCAAATGTAATAATTTAGGGCCTAATGTTTTTGGCTTGCAGTGGATTTGCGACCATTAAGTAATTAGATGTAGTCTAGATCTAGCTAGATATCTAGCTGCTAGGCCAAGTAAAAAAATCTAGATTACGAAAATAGTAAAAAGGATTACAAAATGTAAAAATGATTACAAAAATAAATCTATCCAAATTTTAAACATTCTGTATAAAAATAAAAGATGACGCCAAAAAAAGTATGGTTTACAGTACTTCCGGTGAATTCCGGAAGTGTGTGACAGACTTTGGCATTGTTTTACTGTTTTTTACTGCTATACGATTCCGGAATAATAACCGACGCTAAACTAAGGTTTTACCAAAACTTTAACAAGATGGCTGCTGTAGTAAATGAGCATGGTTGCATCTGTTGGAAACATCGCTGGTGTTCATTTATTACTGAAGAGTTTTAATTAAATTGTTTAGAAACAGGTACATAAATGAAACAAGGAAACATTTTTGTATTTTTCATAACATAAATCCTCCTCAAAATGTGAAATAATTATTAAAATGTAAGGAGTCACCTGTTTTTCACATTACTAGTCGCCGGCGATTTTACGTACCTAAAACGATAGATTACCAAATCACCATTGCCATTTTATAGTATCATCTATCGGCTTTAGGGCAGGGCGGTTTAGGCAGTTTGTTGAGTTTAGGTACGTAAAATCGGCCGAGGCTAGTAGTAATGTGAAAAGAAGGTGGTGCCTCATTGCATTTTAGTAATTATTTCACATATTAAGGAAGATTTATGTTTTGAAAGTTACAAAAATGTTTCAAAGTTTAATTCATGTAGGCCTACCTACTGTTTCTAAACAATTGCACTAAAACTTTTCAGTAATAAATAAAGACTAAGACTAGTCATGTTTTCATCAGATGCAACAAAGCTCGTTTACTTTAGCAGCCATCCTTTTAAAGTTTTTTTGGTAACATTTTAGCTAGAGTAGAGATTCATGGAAAAACACTCTAAATTACAGATGGCCGCAAACAAGGCTGTTTAAAGTTAATTTCTGGCCTTTCGATATATTTAGACATTGCTTTTAGTTTATTATTCAAAACTAAAACAACAATTATTTAATGACCTCTCTAACTGACTCATTGAAACATTTCCCATTCATCTGTTATATTCTTTTTTTAATATCACTTTGTATTATAACTATGTAGCATTATTTCTTTATTCCACATTTTTAGTGCTATGTTACTGCTATGTTGTTTTTTTTTAAATGCTGTTATTGAATTGTTGTTTTATTTGTTTAAACGGCCAATGTGAAAAAAGGCCTTCGTGCCTACAATTGTTACCATTTTTTGAATAAATTTGAAACTTGATACAAAAATATCACAATATACTTGTATTAAAGCCATATTAATGAGCCACTTTCTCTCACATTACTAGCCTCAGCCGATTTTACATCCCTAAAATGATAGATTACCAATATTTATTATAAATATAATATTAATTATTAAACGAAGGCAAAAGAGTTGACGAGAATCGTTCCATCATATTAAAAAAGTAATTTTTTTTTAGATTTTGCAATCAATGCAACCGTAAAAATAATAACAAATAAAAACTTATGGCTAAAAATGATTCAGAAATTTAATATTTTTAGAATCAATTTTATAAAAGTTGCAAATCCAGAGAACTGTAAAATAATTTGTTGCATTTAATGCTACATTTCTGTTTATTTTCATCAAGCTTAGATTTAAGTCATAACCTGTTGTTTCACTTTCGTAAGACAAACATTGATTGGCTGTACAGGAACTCCATGATCGATTTCTGACAGCCCCACTTTATAGTTTTTTTGTTTACAAAACTTTGAAGATAAAGTTTTTAAAAAACAATGCAAATTTAAACCACATGACCTACTTTTGCCATTTTTTTGCTTACAATAAAATGTATGCTAGCCTATCGAATGCAGGATGCCATTGTTTATGTCACCGTTACATGTGAAAACCAAATAGTTTTTGCCTTTTTTTTAAATTTTTAACATCAAATACATCCAATCTTTAGTAAAGTCAGAAAAAACCCCAACAGACAGGATTTCATAACCATATTAGTTTTAACTATGCCATGCAAGATTTTTAAAATATTTAATGGGCCTCAGAGGCGTAGCAACCCTTCCCAGCGCCCGGGGACAAACTTACAATTTGGCGCCCCTCTCAGCAGCAAACTTTCGATTTGCGCCACCCCCCTTAAACTTTTTATTTGCACCCCCCCCCCTCAGCTAAAATGACATTTTAATTTGTTTTTCCAATCCATTTTGGCGCCCCTAAGGTCGGCTCCCGGGGACATATGTAAACCCCCCCTACCCCCTCACTATGCCTCTGATGGGCCTCTCGAATACCTTTGAGACTTTTCTCGCTCTAACTATTATATACTATAACTATATTTACTACTATAAGATCTACAGTAACAGACATGACACTGACTACTTCAAGTAGAATTTATTTATTCCAGTACCTGTCAGTACTTACATACTTCATGTCACAGTGCCAGTAAAAGAATGAGTGAAGGGAGTGACTTCACTTTCATGTACTTTACTGTAATACTCTATACTTAGTGATTTCCAAAGAATTCAAAATTCAGATCTTAAATTGAGTAATGCATTAAAGACAAACAAACATACTTTCATTGTTATATACATAGATAGATGGTTATAAATGTAACTTTTCTGATGAAACACAAGATAGGCCCATGGGACAAAGGGAAACAACCAAGTTAATACTTTTGCAAATAAATCTAAGCCTGGTTGATTCCTCTGAATATTAAAAAATAATATTCCTTATTTTTATTCTTCTGGGGACCTTGGGGGGGGGGGGGGGGGGGCTTTTATTTTTTCCCCAGCATAAACTTATCCAAGAGCATTCTCAAGGGGTCATCCATAAATGACGTCACACTTTTTTTGATGATTTTTACCTCCTCCCCTCCCCTCCGTCACACCTTGTCACAAACAGCCAGACCCCCCCCCCCCTAAAGTGACGTCACACCTCAGCCTACAACCCACCTCAAAATTGCAGTTGAATTTTTTTTTAAACATCGATATTTTTCCAAAATCTTGTCTGAAATATGTCAAAATAGAGTATTTTAATCAATTCCTATTATAATTTATTAAAACTGTTTTCTAAAACGCTAAATAATGTCTAAAATTCGTTTCCTAACATTTCTTATCTATAAAGCAAAAGTGTGATGTCGCACCATCTGAACCCCCCCCCCCCCCCATCACACATTGTCACAAAATTACCAACCCCCCCTCCTCCCCCCTACGAGTGTGACGTCATTTATGGACAACCCCCTAACACTCCCAAAGAAGGGATGAAAGGTATAGTAATGCATAAAGGACACACACACACACATGCATCATCAAAGACATCTGAAATTTGGATGCCATTACAATGGGGGCCATTTTGAAAAAAACAACATTTGGTGATTAAATACTATTAGGTGAGCATTAATTTTAATGGTATCTCACCATACAATTTTTGAAAAAAATATTTCTAGATTAGAGCGTTTTCTGTTACAAACACTAGGCAGCTGACTCTTTGATAATTAAAATTGGATCAAGTTAAAGTTTTTTAATTGTTCAAGTCATCTTAAAGAATAATATAATCTTAGGTGACCCCCAACTTTATCTGCTCAATGTCAAATCTTTATCTGCTCAATGTCAAATCTTTATCTGCGCAATGTCAAATCTTTATCTGCTCAATGTCAAATCTTTATCTGCTCAATGTCAAATCTTTATCTGCTCAATGTCAAATCTTTATCTGCTCAATGTCAAATCTTTATCTGCTCAATGTCAAATCTTTATCTGCTCAATGTCAAATCTTTATCTGCTCAATGTCAAATCTTTATCTGCTCAATGTCAAATCTTTATCTGCTCAATGTCAAATCTTTATCTGCTCAATGTCAAATCTTTATCTGCTCAATGTCAAATCTTTATCTGCTCAATGTCAAATCTTTATCTGCTCAATGTCAAATCTTTATCTGCACAATGTCAAATCTTTATCTGCTCAATGTCAAATCTTTATCTGCTCAATGTCAAATCTTTATCTGCTCAATGTCAAATCTTTATCTGCTCAATGTCAAATCTTTATCTGCTCAATGTCAAATCTTTATCTGCTCAATGTCAAATCTTTATCTGCACAATGTCAAATCTTTATCTGCTCAATGTCAAATCTTTATCTGCTCAATGTCAAATCTTTATCTGCTCAATGTCAAATCTTTATCTGCTCAATGTCAAATCTTTATCTGCTCAATGTCAAATCTTTATCTGCTCAATGTCAAATCTTTATCTGCTCAATGTCAAATCTTTATCTGCTCAATGTCAAATCTTTATCTGCTCAATGTCAAATCTTTATCTGCACAATGTCAAATCTTTATCTGCTCAATGTCAAATCTTTATCTGCTCAATGTCAAATCTTTATCTGCTCAATGTCAAATCTTTATCTGCTCAATGTCAAATCTTTATCTGCTCAATGTCAAATCTTTATCTGCTCAATGTCAAATCTTTATCTGCTCAATGTCAAATCTTTATCTGCTCAATGTCAAATCTTTATCTGCTCAATGTCAAATTTTTATCTGCTCAATGTCAAATTTTTATCTGCTCAATGTCAAATCTTTATCTGCTCAATGTCAAATCTTTATCTGCTCAATGCCAAATCTTTATCTGCTCAATGTCAAATCTTTATCTGCTCAATGTCAAATCTTTATCTGCTCAATGTCAAATCTTTATCTGCTCAATGTCAAATCTTTATCTGCTCAATGTCAAATCTTTATCTGCTCAATGTCAAATCTTTATCTGCTCAATGTCAAATCTTTATCTGCTCAATGTCAAATCTTTATCTGCTCAATGTCAAATCTTTATCTGCTCAATGTCAAATCTTTATCTGCTCAATGTCAAATCTTTATCTGCTCAATGTCAAATCTTTATCTGCTCAATGTCAAATCTTTATCTGCTCAATGTCAAATCTTTATCTGCTCAATGGCAAATCTTTATCTGCTCAATGTCAAATCTTTATCTGCTCAATGGCAAATCTTTATCTGCTCAATGTCAAATCTTTATCTGCTCAATGTCAAATCTTTATCTGCTCAATGGCAAATCTTTATCTGCTCAATGTCAAATCTTTATCTGCTCAATGTCAAATCTTTATCTGCTCAATGTCAAATCTTTATCTGCTCAATGTCAAATCTTTATCTGCTCAATGTCAAATCTTTATCTGCTCAATGCCAAATCTTTATCTGCTCAATGCCAAATCTTTATCTGCTCAATGTCAAATCTTTATCTGCTCAATGTCAAATCTTTATCTGCTCAATGTCAAATCTTTATCTGCTCAATGTCAAATCTTTATCTGCTCAATGTCAAATCTTTATCTGCTCAATGTCAAATCTTTATCTGCTCAATGTCAAATCTTTATCTGCTCAATGTCAAATCTTTATCTGCTCAATGTCAAATCTTTATCTGCTCAATGTCAAATCTTTATCTGCTCAATGTCAAATCTTTATCTGCTCAATGTCAAATCTTTATCTGCTCAATGTCAAATCTTTATCTGCTCAATGTCAAATCTTTATCTGCTCAATGTCAAATCTTTATCTGCTCAATGTCAAATCTTTATCTGCTCAATGTCAAATCTTTATCTGCTCAATGTCAAATCTTTATCTGCTCAATGTCAAATCTTTATCTGCTCAATGTCAAATCTTTATCTGCTCAATGTCAAATCTTTATGCTTTATAGAAATCTATAGCCTGTTGTAGTAGTATAACTTTCAATGTTGATTGTGTCCATTATTTTCTTTATTTTCATATCTCTACACATTCTAATAGAATCAACTCTCAATGTTGATTGTGTCCATTATTTTCTTTATTTTCATATCTCTACACATTCTAATAGAATCAACTCTCAATGTTGATTGTGTCCATTATTTTCTTTATTTTCATACCTCTACACATTCTAATAGAATCAATGCATGCCTTCATTGGGCAGCTGAATCGCTGGTCTGAAAATACATTTTACTCATTGTTTCATCCTCATCTTGATGGCCACACACCAAAATGGCAGTTTCACAAAAAAGCAGACATCAAATTGGCAGCTGCACCTTTCTTATCAACCTATTCATAGTAGAATGATTTCTTTTATCATTTTTGGTTCAAACAAATACAAATTGCATGTTGAGTGGCATTTCTTATCCCTCAGCACAACTTTTAAACAACATACTATTTTCACAGTCTTACTTTACACATTTCCTGCAACAATTCCAAACTTGTTTTAAAAAGAAACATTAACTTTTGTTTGTTTGTAGCCAAACTTCTGTGACAGGAGAAAGTAGTCATTTTTAAAAGCATTCATGGTCAAAAACAAGATAAAAATCTATGGGATCCAGACAAAAGGCAGACATAGACAAAAGGCAGATCTTGTCCATTTAGCACTCATGTTAATTTTTAACTACCAACCTAATTTTATAAAAACAGAAACCACAAATTGGGTTGCATTGAAGTTAACTTTCTGAATTTTTCAAATGATTTAAGCCATGCCGTTGTGTGACTTTTTGCTAGATAAAATGTTTGACAAAATGCTGTTTATAAATATGATAGTGTGTTAAGTGCATCTGATCTATTTGTTGGCAGGTCTGGCCCAACTAGTGGCATAGATCAGCAAAATTTGATGCGGCTGAAGGTCAATAAAATAGCTCTCATACAGGAGCTGAGTGTGGAGCATGTGACGGGTCCACTGCTGGCTGGAGGCGTCCTTGAAGAGAAGGATCTCAATCAAATAGAAAGTCATAAGACTGCTCAGGTGGCTAGCTATACTTTTATTTTGTTAAAAACAAGGGTCCTCAAAGTGATAGCTGTCGGATATGTATTACACATATATAAATCTGCACCGATAAAATAAATATCACATTTTTGTATTTAGAAGCCACACCTTCTTTACAGAGTTCTGTTTTTTGACACTGACCTCTCAAATATCAAAATACATTTTTAGGAGAAAGCAAGAACTTTAGTGGAAATTCTACCTACCAAAGATAAACATTCAGAATGGTACAAAACGTTTAGAGGAGCTCTTCTTAATCCAGAGTCAAGCCCTGAAACTAAAAAGCGATATAAACATCTGGTTGATTTCCTTGATAATACCGTAAGTTGACAAAATTTTGTTGATTTCCTTGATAATACTGTGACAAGATTTTGTTGATTTCCTTGATAATACTGTGACAAGATTCCCCCATTCTCACAATTTAAAAAAAAATATGTGTAAAAAAATAATAAATTTAAATTGACATATTAATATAAACTTTTAAGTAGACAACAAAATTAAAATGTAATATTCCGTGCATTCTTACATCAATTGTGTGACTGGTCAAAAAGCCCCGGCCTTTCCAAATTAGGATGGGGGGGGGGTCTTTTTCACCAATGCGAATAACTATATATTAGCCTAATTCGGGGGAAGGGCGTAAAATTGATAGTTTGTCCTGGCTATCGAATACTAACCCTTACCCTTTGTTTATCACCCTGTATATAGTGTATAATATATAATCAAAGTTATTAATTAATAGGTATTTTTTAATAATGGCAATTACACATTTTTGCATCCCCCTATAGATAGCGCCCTAGGCAACCTCCTAGACTGCCTTATAGGTAGCGCCGGCCCTGCATTGGTTCAATGTCTTTTAAGAAAGGGTTTTCTTGAACTAAAGTGCTTAAAAACCGTTGAATAATCTGAGAGAATGAAATTTGAACAACTTTTACCTTTTCATATTTAGTCAGCTTGAAGTTGAAGCAATAGTTATTTTTTAAAACAAAACTAGCTTTTTAAATCAAAAGTGGCAAAACAGACAAATCTATGAATATTGAAATATTAGTTGACATGTTAGGAGCTGAGTTTTGGGAATATTTCAAATGGTAGATGTAATGGATTGATGTTTTTATTATTACACACTGGACCATAGAGCCACGTTGATGTATATCTAGCTTTATTCGAAACCGGTAGACACATGACAAAACAAGGGACATCACTCAAAACAACATTATAAATATAAGACTAATACAAGAAGAGTGAGTTCCCTTGACTTCACAATTCTCAATATATTACATCCCTTTACCCTTAGTAAACAACAACACAGCTCTCAATAGAACAAATGATAGTATCCTAAAATCACCAAATATATTGTAACATGAACATTATATGATTTGAATCATTTGGTAGATTACACCCTTACAAACAAATGCAAAATATGCTACAACATAATTAAAATACAAAACAATGATGTCAAAGTCCTCTTGACCTTTAAAATCATAGGTCTAACTTATGTGGGACTTTGATTGTCCTGTTTGACCTTCTCAGTGGCTTTTGATTTGGTGACTCAAGATTCTGACCATCTGGACTCTCTAGCTCAGGAAGCCCAGGATCTAAATCATTAATTCCAGAATTTACATTTTCTGACTCCAGACTACTTGGTTCACTCATATCAACAGAACTTGGTTGTGGAACAAACTGAGTTGGTGTGAACCGGTCAGATCTGGTGGGATTGACAGATTCACACTTATTATCTGCACAAGTTATTTTTAACTGGTCTGCATGTCTACGGACAACAAGTCCATTATTTGTTTTCACTTTATAAGACACAGGTCCTGTACATTGAACAATTTGACCTGGTATCCATTTTTCCCCTCTCCCACAATTTCTCAGATACACATTATCATTAACTCCAAATTCTCTTTCAATTGGTGTTTTGTCATGATTTACTTTTTGTGTATGTTGATGTTGGGAAACAGACCTTTCAACAGTTGGGTGTAGTAGGTCAAGGTGAGTTTTAATTTTCCTACCCTCATCATTCACTGACTCTTCAGGCCAACCATTCTTACAGTACTCATATACTTTTATCAAGCACTCATCTTTTTGTGTTTCTCTCTTAACATCATTCACATTTATATTGGAGTTATCCATGATAGTGAAAAGAACAAATACATCTTCTGGTACATAACTAAGGCTTTGGTTTTTTAAAGGTAAACGACTAAGACTATCTGCACTATTCTCAGATCCAGATTTGTATTTCAATTCATAATTGTATCCGGCTAGTGTGATAGCCCATCTTTGAATTCTTGGTGAGGCATGCTCAGGCAGGGGTTTGTTTTCCCCAAACAAACCCAGCAATGGCTTATGATCTGTAAAGATGGTGAGCTCTCTACCAAACAGAAACTTGTGAAATTTCTTAACACCAAAAATGATGCCTAAGCCTTCCCTATCTAATTGAGAATAATTTTTCTCAGCCTGGTTCAAAGATCTACTGGCAAAAGCAATGGGTCTGTCACCATTTTCATCTATGTGGGATAAAACTGCTCCTACACCATCTGGTGAAGCATCGCATGTTAAGATAAGTCTTTTCCCTGGGTCATAGTGAGTTAGCAAAGTGTCAGAAGACAAAGCTTCTTTTGCTGCATTAAAAGCAGCATCTTGTTGTTTACCCCAGTGCCAAGTTGCATTTTTCTGCAGCAGCTTGTACAGTGGTGATAGTTTACCAGACAGATTCCCTATGAACTTTGCATAGTAATTTATCAAGCCCAAAAAAGCTCTTAGTTGTTGGGTATTTTCAGGTTTGGGTGCTTCTTTAGTGGCTTTTGTTTTCTCAGGTTGAGGTCTGAGACCCAGTTTGTTCAAATTATAACCAAGAAAACTAATATCTGTCAGCATGAATTGACATTTATCTTTGTTTATCTTTAAACCCTTTTCACCAACTATTTTCAAGACTTTATCAAGTGTTTTAAGATGTTCAGTGTCATTCTTACCAGTTATGTACACATTGTCAAAGTAAACACAAACATTTGGAATGTCCTGAAAAATACTGTCCATGACAGTCTAGAAAATTCCAGGGCTAGATGATATACCAAAACATAGTCTTTCATATTGGTAGAGTCCCTTATGTGTGTTTATTGTTGTATAGACTTTTGAATCTGGATGAAGTTCTAGTTGAGTGTAAGCATGACTAAAGTCTAATTCAGTGAATTTGTCTCCTCCTGCTAAATTCAAAGAAATTTCCTCAATGTTAGGAATAGGGTACCTATTTAGCTCTATTTGCTTATTCAGTGTAGCTTTATAGTCTCCACAAATTCTTACAGAACCATCCTTCTTTAACACTGGCACAATGGGCGTTGCCCAATCGGAATAGTCTACCTTCTTTATGATGCCATTAGATTCCAATCTACTTAGCTCATTTTCAATTTTATCCCTCATTGCATAAGGTGGAACTCTAGCTTTGCAGTATCTTGGATTTGTGTCTTTAATGCTTATCTTCACTGTCCTATCATTTAGTAATCCTGAACTACCAAAGACACCTTCATTTTCAGATATAACTTTATCTATTGAAGTAAAACATGAAGTACTATTGGTAGCTACTTATCATTCATGTGTGGTTTGACCTTGACCAACTACATTGTTCCTAATTGCAGTGCTTGTAACTATAGACTTTTTACATTCATATAAACTAGTTGCATACCCCTGCTTCACCAGAGTCAATCTTTTTTAAATGTACCAACTTGGGAACAGAACAAAACCAAACGCAAGCACAAGGACAAAACTAAAAAGAAAATGTGAATGCAACAAAGACAAATGCAAACACAAAAGAAAACATAAACACATTAGCTTGAGCGAATGGCTTTATCCCACATTCTCCAATTTAACCATCTGTTAAAATAACACTGAAAAATAATCAGTGATTTTAAGAGACCATAGAAATAAAAAAAACACAACTGTAAAACTTTGCACCGATCAATCAGGAAATTGTGACAATGGACACCAGCGAGAAAAGTCTCAAAGGTATTTGAGAGGTGTATAAATTCATTTAAAAATCATGCACAGCGTAGTTACAATTAATATGGTTATAAAATCCTGCCTGTCTGGTTTTTTTCGGACTTTACTAAAGATTGGATGTATTTGATGTTTATAATATTTTCGGTAACTAAATAAAAATTAAAAAAAAAGCAAAAACAATTTAGTTTTCACGTGTAATGGCGACATAAACAATGGCATCCTGCTATTGGATAGGCCGCCATAGATTTTATTGTACACATTGTAAGCTAAAAATAGAAAACTAGCTCATGGGGTTTTAAATTGGCATTGTTATTTAAAAACTTGATCTGCAAAGTTTTGTAAACAAATAGTTATCGATTACTAAGTTACTGTACAGCCAATCAATATTTGTCTTACGAAAGTGAAACATCCGGTTATAACTTAGGCTTGATGAAAATAAATAGAAATGTTGCCTTAAACTCAACAAATTATTTTCAAGTTCTCTGGATTTGCAACTTTTATAGCATTTATTCTAAAAATATAAAATTTCTAAATTAATTTTAGGCTTAAGTTTTTATTTTTTATTTTTTTTTACGGTCTAAATCTAAAAAGCACGTTTTTATTCCATGTCAACAACATTATGGAAGGAATCTCGTCAACTCGCTTGTCTCCATTATCTCAACATTAATCTGTTTTAATTGTGAGCCTTAACATTTAATAAAGATTGCGGTAGGAATAAGTATTTCGTCCTTAAATAGCAATATTTAGCGTGAATTGATTTTCTTTTTTTTAAAATGTATAAATTTTTCTAGGAATCTAAGCAAAAATATCATTTGATCATTTAACATGTTTAGCAATATGCGTGTATTGAATATTTTATTCATGTTTTTTTGTTGACGTATGTGAAAGAGTAAAAACTTATTGCCAACTATAAAAAAAATTAAGTCGCTACTCCATTACTTGTAATAAGACAATGTAATGCAAGTAGTGCACAGGCATGTGGTTTTGGAAGAAAGGAAGGACTGATACACTACCAGTCAGCATATAATATAGATAAATAAATATTGAACTTGTTTTTCTAACACTATATTTTCATTATTTAGGTCATCCATCGACCAAGCTCCCAAGCTGGTAGATTTAGAGAGAGCCGAGTGCCTGGTTTACCACACTACCCAGCTCTTCCAGGCATCCACCAGAATAGAGAGGAGAAAGAGAAGTAAAAACTCTCTTTTTAAAATAGATAATTGATAGAATAAAGCTTACAGTATCAAGCTTTTATTAAGGCCCTTAAAAAAGAATATAGAAATATATTATTTTAGACCTATACAAATGGTAGCTGCAGTGAGGTTAATTCAATTAGTAATAAAACAGAATGAACTTTTCTATGAATCTAAGCAAATCCAGGAAAAATACACTGGCAGAATTCCAGGTTTTTATCGGCGGTACATTGATGATGGGTTAGGTATCACAGAGATGGCAGAAGAAGAACTAAAAGATTTCATATCATTCTGCAAGAACTATCACCCAAACATTAAATTTACCTCTGAAATTTCAGGCAGTTCTGTTAACTTCATGGACATGACAATATCACATAACGCAACCAACGTTGGAACGACCGTATTCTACAAACCAACTGACTCACACTCATATTTGCTGTACTCTTCGTCACACCCCCCGGCCTGCAAAAATTCGATACCATTCTCACAATTATTAAGACTACGACGTATTTGTCAAGATGATGACGACTTTTGGAACAAGGCCCATTAGCTATTACAGTTCTTCCGACTGCGGTCATACCCGGAGCATATACTTCACACCGCATAAAAACTGCTGACCACCAAGCCTCCCTTCAACAATTTCCAAAACAAAAGTCAGATAGAACTAAACTCATCTTACCCTACCATCCTCATTCGGTTTTAGCTAAAAATATCATTAATTATAAAAAAAAATATTCTATCCTCAAGTCAGACCCTCATTTAGGCCATTTATTTCAACAGAATATTTTGGTTGTGTATAGAAGGGAATGCAATCTTAGAGATCTTTTAGTTCGCAGCCGCCTGCCACCCATTACCACCACCAGATTTGGCACCACTCCTTGTCCGTGGATGGATGTGTGGATGTGTCCGCAGCTTTAAGTCGTATCTCCTCCTCAACGAAACAATATCGAGGACTAGTTCCAAAAGCAAATATGTTAAGCAAGTTCCGAGGATGATTGTGGGTCAAAAAAATTTCCCGGAATTCCTTCCTGGATTTCCCGGAAAATCCAAAAAAACCTCGAAAAATGCAGTTTTTGGCCCATATCTCGGCAACCAGACCACTTAGCGACTTGAAACATTTACCAATCGATTCCTGCCATAATTTAGAACAATATTGCCGAAGAAAGTTTTCACAAATATCCTTTCGTTCGGTCGAAAAATGTTTTTAAAAATTACATAAACACCTACAAACCGATCGTTCTCCTAGCTTGAACGCACCCCAGCATGTGCGCTTTACGCTACGACAGAGCTATTTTTAGATAACATAAGGAAATTGCGCTTAAATTGTCACTAGACTTTTTATTAACTGGTTTTTTGTCTAATTTGTAACCACACTGTTGTGTGCTGACGAAGACCTTGGGTCGAAACGTCCAAAGTATTTGTAACTGTCTTTAACTTGCGAGGTAACTAACACTATCTGTTTTATTATTAATTATTTTAGACCTTAGATGGTTATACCAAAAACACTTCCTCTTAGCAAAAATAAACTCTAATAGTCTCTAAAATCAATAGTAAATCTTGTAAGTTTTAGACCCAGAGGCTAATCTATTTTTCATAAAATTTACTTTTCAAATGTGAATAAGTGTAACGTCAAACAGTAGATTGGCATAAGGGTTTTCAGCCATCACAAACAAACCATTGGTGCAGTTGGGAATGTGTGCACCAAATCTATCTGCAAATGACACTTATGATTGTAAATTAAAAATCTAAACAAATATATCTCATTGCCAACAAACTTTTGTGAAAAGACATCAAGCAAAGATGAATTGATACAAAATGGTTTCTCAAATATTGAGGAGAAATTATAAAAGTCATCAGTCTCTCAGAGCACATGGTATATTAGAAGCTAGACACAACAATAGTATGCCATCGATTTCAGCATTCAAAACAGAATACTGGACAAAGAGACCATGTAAAAGGCCATCAGTGCTGTGATGAATCAAGACAATGTTGTCAACAGAATTCTTGAACTTACTCCATTTGGCAGGTCTGCCACTGCATATTTTAACATAGAGAATTAGGGTGCCTAGCATTCTCTTTAGTGCCATAAATCAATTAAAATAAACATTTATGAATGAAAATTGAAGGTTTGCCACAGATGTGCATTTGAATGCATACATGTTGCCATTTGTTGTCACAATGACCATTCAGAGGATGGCTGCAAGTGTGTTAAATAGATTTGGAGTTGAGTTTCCTTAATTAGACAGTGTAAATTGAATGCTATCAAATGCGTTTCTGTGATTTCCTGGCGTTGTTAGGTTGTACAACTCAGAGGTTGGGTTGTTAGGTTGTACAACTCACAGGTTGGGTTGTTAGGTTGTACAGCTCAGAGGTTGGGTTGTTAGGTTGTACAACTCACAGGTTGGGTTGTTAGGTTGTACTACTCAGAGGTTGGGTTGTTAGGTTGTACAACTCACTGGTTGGGTTGTTAGGTTGTACTACTCACAGGTTGGGTTGTTAGGTTGTACAACTCACAGGTTGGGTTGTTAGGTTGTACTACTCACAGGTTGGGTTGTTAACTTGTACTACTGCTGAAGAGCATGTACAGCATCCTCCCTAGATTTTTTGTCATGCACCATTTTCACCTGCACCATTTTTTCCACTATAATTAGCATGTCTTAATTAGCATGTCTTTTTCAATTTCTCTATGCCATGTGTTTTTGGGCATTCCTCTTTCTTTATCCTCGTAAACAAGTCTTGTCTGACAAAACTTGCAATTTGTTTCTTCAACATCCTACTGCAAATTATATAAATGGTTGTGCATTAATATTGTAGTTAAAGAAAATCCTTTATTATTATATTGAGAGATTCATAGAAATGCATGGATATTTAATGCACTATTTAAAGGACTTATTATATATGGAAAGATGCAAAACTAATAAACACTTGAAATACTTGACACCTTTATTAATAATTGAAAAATTAATGAAACATTTTCTTAAAGATCATGTCACTTTGTATTGTTATCAAGGAGTGAACTAAATAGAAGCTGGTTACAAGATACATGCCCAGGACAGAACCAGAAATAGAGGTTTTTAAAAGCGTGTAAAAACAAACTAAAAAAAACAGAATTATGAAACTCAAAACATTAATGAATTTTTTCAATTAAAAAAATGAAAACTTCCACTTTCCAGTAGTGCCAACAGAGATGGTGCCCCGGGATGGCTTGTTCCTAACGACAGTCTTCAGAGGCCATCAAACATGACACTGGTTCAAGGATATTTTCATCAATGGCTTCCAACACCAGATGACTTTAAGTAAGTCATTCTTTTTTTCAAAACAACAGATTTACACAACCCAATCACACACACACACACACATATATATATATATATATATATATATATATATATATATATATATATATATATATATATATATATCTATATATATCTATATATATATATATATATATATATATATATATATATATATATTATATATATATATATACTAGCCGTCCCGGCCAGGCCCTGCTCTGGCTTCTGTGAAAAACATTTCTGTTAAAGACCATTACCTGTGTGTTTAGTAATCATCATAAACCCGGCATTGCCCACCCAAACCACAACCAACCAAAATCAAAACAACAAAACGCAAACATAACGCTAACAGAATTACAAATGCAAACGAAAACAAAAACCTAAGAACAAACCCAACCACAAACACCAATACCAACACAAAAAAAACAACGAAAAATCAAACGAAAACAAACCAAATCCAAACGCAAAACCAACCAAAAACACAAATACAAACCCAAAGAAAAAAACACAAACAAAAACGGAAAAAGGAAGAACAAAAACGAACCAAATAAAAACGCAACCACTAACGCAAACCCACCTAAACACAAAGAAAACACTAACGCGAACATAAACGCCCAGGGCGGAATCACCTGTTTTAGCTTAATGAACGACTATAGTACCCCAACTTAATCATAGTCTTTTGCACTCACTTAAACGAACGCGCCTGTTTCAATTTAATGAACAATTATAATACTCCAAGCTTATCCGTAAAATACCTACAACATTTGCACTTGATCAATCCCCGCTAATTATGTAATTTTTTTTCCCAACACCAAAACAAAGTAATTAAAAAGTAAATTCTTTTCCACTAATGCAATGGTTTTATAAAGGGAAGTAATTGTGTTTTCCTAATTTATCAAAGGGAAGTAAGTGCTATAGGACTAAATAAAGACATAATTAAATATTTTGTAAAAGATGATATTTTTTTAAAACTTGTGTTTAATGAACATGCCGAAAATTATTACTTTCAGTTTGATAAATGAAAATTATTTCCCAAAACTTTCAATATTAATTTTTTAACTCATAAATTTAGACCACAAGGACTTTAATTATCTAACACTTAAATCCATAGAAGTATGTCAACGACAAACAAACAAACTTATTACATGTTAGTTAGATACAGAATTGAGCTTTATATATTAGATAAATATATATATATATATATATATAGATATAGATATAGATATATATATATATATATATATATATATATATATATATATATATATATATATATATATATATATATATATATATAAATATATATATATATATATATATATATATATATATATATATATATATATATATATATATAATATATATATATATATATATATATATATATATATATATATATATATATATATATATATATATATATATATATATATATATATATATATATATATATATATATATATAAAGCAATGTATGTGTGTGTGTCTGGGTGTCTTTTATGCATTACCACACCTCTTATCACATCGCCTTGAAACTTTGGGAAGTTGTTGAGAATATTCCTGGGGAGGTTTCTGCGAAAAAAAAATTCAAATTCGCAGGGGTGGCGCCCCGGCAGGGCGCGATTAGTTTTTCTCTATATACGGTATATAAAAAAATAAAAGTCAATTTTGGTTAGGCATCGTTCATCCGATAGCCATGAGACTTTGTGGAGTTCATTATACCACTCTAGGGAAGGATTCCGTAAAAAAATAATTTTTAATTTTGCAAGGGCGGCGCTACGGGAGGGTCCGATTTTTCTCTATATATGGTATATAAAAATAAACGTCGATTGCGGTTTCACGGCGTTCATCCGATCGCCATCAAACTTTGGGGAGTTGATTAGAACGCTCCAGGGAAGGTTTCTGTAAAAAAAAACTCCTTTTTTAATTTCGCAAACCGGCGCCACGGGAGGGTGCGATTTTCCTCTCTATACGATTTATAAAAATATAAGTCTATTTCGGTTTTACACCGTTCATCAGTGTACCATGAAACTCTGGGGAGATGATTAGATCACTCAATGGTAGGGTTCTGCAAAAAAAAATAATTAATATTGCAAGGGCGGCGCCCCATGGGAGAGCGATTTTTTTCTCTATACACGGTATATAAAAAATAAAACTCGGATGCGGTTCATCCGAGTGCCATGAAACTTTAGGGAGTAGATGAGAATACTCCCGAGAATATTTCTGCGAAAAAGAAAACTAAAGTAGGGTACAATTTTTGTCAATACACGGTTTGGCGCCCAAAGTTTTAGGGCGACTATGTTGGCACTTTTGCATCCGTTAATCGAGCGTCCTGCATAGCGAGTAAGCGGTACTACTATATTCAGCGGTAAAGCTACAACAGGCTTCTAAAAATAACTTTGTAACGCGAGGAAATCCTTCTGTACAGCTTCGTCACCTTGCCAAAGATGAAAAAATAACTTTTTGAATATGAGGAGCCTACTGTAGAGTTTTGTCACTTTGCGAATGATGGAATGAGCATTTACTATTAGACAATCCAGTCAGAAATTGAGATCGAGCATCTAATAATAGACTATTAGTAACGCTAGCATATTGCATCAGTCACACTGATGTTTAAAACACGTCAAATAATTTTTTTACGTGTTAAAGAAAAAAATCCTGTTCATTTGTGTCAGCATCATTGTTTACAGGATGCTATTGGCACACTGGGTTATCCTATGAGCACGATGGCGCCTGTTAGTTTTAAGGGGCCGTAGGCTGCGCATATGCGGTAGTGTAATCGGGGGGGGGGGCTCCTGAGAGCGCCCCTCTACGTCCCTGACACATGGGTGGTCACCGAAGTGTGTTCTACCTCATTATTTCGGTGAGTGATTAATGTACACTCAAGGTTTTCATGCGGTAGTGTAGGAAAACCCGTGTCACGATAATTATTATCCAAGCGCAGGCATTGTTTACATTTAAATAACACAGTTTTAGAAAAGAAGGACACGCGTCTAAGAACATATGATTGGTAATGCATTGGTGATATCCTTCTAATATATTTCGTCAGACTTTCTTCTATCCCCGCCGCAACGCGCGGGGGCGGGTACACTAGTAAATATATATAAAATAAAAAATATACACATATATATGCCTATATAAATAAATAAATAAATAAATTTATAATATATATATATATATATATATATATATATATATATATATATATATATATATATATATATATATATATATATATATATATATATATATACTACGGTGCCTGCCCCCGTGCGTTGCCGTGGGGGATAGAAAAATGTCTGACGAAATATATAAGAAGGGTTTCATCAACGCATAACCAATCATAGATCTATATTCTTAGACGCGTGGCCTTGTTTTCTAAAACTGAGTTGTTTAAATGCAAACAATGCCTGCGCTTGGATCATAAACATCGGGACACATGTTTACCTACACTACCGCATAAAAACCTTAAAAACGTTAATCACTCACCAAAATAATGAGATAGAACACACTTCGGTGACCGCCCGTGTGTCAAGGACCTTTAGGGGCGCTCTCGGGAGCCCCTGGCTCCTCAAAAATAACATAGGCGCCATAGTGTTCACAGGATAACCCAGAGCGCCAAATAGCATCCTGAAACAATGATGCAGATTGCGTCATTCGCTAAAGGGACACAAATCAACAAGAATATTCGAGAAAGTTTAGGGGAGATCACTCCCGGTTTATTTAGCTCAGTCATTGAGTAACCTTTATGTTTTTTAGCTCAGTCATTTAGTAACCTTTATGTTTTTTAGCTCAGTTATTGAGATATCTTCAACTCACTTGAAAAAACTGGCAGAGTCAATTCTCCCAGAAGATAAAAAGCTGTTGGAAAATGAAAAAGTTGTGGTGAAAAAGCTGCAACGTTTAGAAGTAATTGAAAGTGCATCAATGAGAAAACTTCTGCCTTCTGGCTTTGAGTTATGCATGGCTGATGTTGTTCAGGTGAACTGTCTGATATCCTTCATTTGTTTTTCGTTTCTTATGGTATAGTAGGTGAGGGTGTGAGGCTTAGGGTTTATGGAGGAATGGGTTCAGTTTGTGAGAGAAAAGTTGGGAATGTATTGAAAATGAGTAGTTTTTTTTTTCTATCCAGAAAAAGGTGATAATGTCAATTTATTTTAGAAGGGAATGTGTGCTAATTAAGACAGGCTATTCTAATTAAGGCTGGCCATCCTAATTAAGACTGGCCACAATTTAATGATGTCATCTAGTAGAAAAGAGGTGAGGAAGTGGAGGGAAGTGGGAGTGAAGGTATTTTACCACAAATAACAGATGGTATTTTTACCCAGGACATCTTAAATGAACCAGATTTGTACCATTTGTATATGAAATATCTGGCCACACTTGAAGCAGCAGACATCAGGTTGGTCAAGGACTTGCTTTCATCTTACCAGTCAGTTGTGCTTGTACTCAACAGCATGACCTCCGCAAACACCATAACTCAGGTTAGGACAAAAATTATTCATCAGGTCAAAGCTTTAAGCAGTTCATTTCTTGCAGACTGCATAAACTGTAGACAAACCTATGCTTGAAGATAGCAATCTAACTAATGGTGAACATTTTCATTCGATTTTCTTAGATCACCCAAACTGGTTTGAAGCTGTCCAAGTTTTTGATTGCTTGTAACAGATATGATGCTGCAGATGCTGTCCTGGTTGGAGCCATCAACTTCCTGAAACAAAGCCCAAGCCTGGAAAACTGGATCCCTCGTCACCAGGCTTATGTCAACCTCATGCACGCCCGCAATATGGCCTACAGATTGGATCAGGCTCAGGACGCTTACTTTGATGCAGTTCAACTGCAGTTTCAAATCAATATGACGTCGTTTGGTCAGACAATTGTGCATGAAGGTGCACTGCATACTGAGACCAGTCACATGTTGTTGGAGTACGGCTCTATTGTATCGGCTCATGGATGGGCCAGGAGAGCTCTCAAGGTATCATTTTTTAAAAATCTAAGGTTGTTGCCCCACCCTAAGATCTTTGTCCCACACTAAGATCTCTCCCCCCCCCCCCCCTCCACAAACACACTAAGATCTTTGTCCCCACAACAATTTGACTTTCAGGAAGTAGATCCAGAAGAGCCTGCAGCAGTGGTGAGGGCACTTTGTGTGGCTGTCGACTCCTACTGTGCTCAATGGCTGGTCAAGAAGGCTGAACTCATTGCTGTCTACCTTGTCCAATATGCCAGGTAAGTTTTGGTCCAATATGCCAGGTAAGTTTTGGTCCAATCTCATGTCTCGTCTCGGCCAGCATACAAAACCTGGGGCAGTAGAATGACAAAATCTAGGTCAGCATACAAAACTTATGGCAATAGAATGACAAAATCTAGGTCAGCATACAAAACCTGGGGCAATAGAATGACAAAATCTAGGTCAGCATACAAAACCTGGGACAATAGAATGACAAAATCTAGGTCAGCATACAAAACTTATGGCAATAGAATGACAAAATCTAGGTCGGCATACAAAACTTATGGCAATAGAATGACAAAATCTAGGTCAGCATACAAAACTTATGGCAATAGAATGACAAAATCTAGGTCAGCATACAAAACCTGGGGCAATAGAATGACAAAATCTAGGTCAGCATACAAAACTTATGGCAATAGAATGACAAAATCTAGGTCAGCATACAAAACCTGGGGCAATAGAATGACAAAATCTAGGTCAGTATACAAAACTTATGGCAATAGAATGACAAAATCTAGGTCAGCATACAAAACCTGGGGCAATAGAATGACAAAATCTAGGTCGGCATACAAAACTTATGGCAATAGAATGACAAAATCTAGGTCAGCATACAAAACCTGGGGCAATAGAATGACAAAATCTAGGTCGGCATACAAAACTTATGGCAATAGAATGACAAAATCTAGGTCAGCATACAAAACCTGGGACAATAGAATGACAAAATCTAGGTCAGCATACAAAACCTGGGGCAATAGAATGACAAAATCTAGGTCAGCATACAAAACCTGGGGCAATAGAATGACCAAATCTAGGTCAGCATACAAAACTTATGGCAATAGAATGACAAAATCTAGGTCAACATACAAAACCTGGGGCAATAGAATGACAAAATCTAGGTCAGCATACAAAACCTGGGGCAATAGAATGACAAAATCTAGGTCAGCATACAAAACCTGGGGCAATAGAATGACAAAATCTAGGTCAGCATACAAAACTTATGGCAATAGAATGACAAAATCTAGGTCAGCATACAAAACCTGGGGCAATAGAATGACAAAATCTAGGTCAGCATACAAAACCTGGGGCAATAGAATGACAAAATCTAGGTCAGCATACAAAACCTGGGACAATAGAATGACAAAATCTAGGTCAGCATACAAAACCTGGGGCAATAGAATGACAAAATCTAGGTCGGCATACAAAACTTATGGCAATAGAATGACAAAATCTAGGTCAGCATACAAAACCTGGGGCAATAGAATGACAAAATCTAGGTCAGCATACAAAACTTATGGCAATAGAATGACAAAATCTAGGTCAGCATACAAAACCTGGGGCAATAGAATGACAAAATCTAGGTCGGCATACAAAACTTATGGCAATAGAATGACAAAATCTAGGTCAGCATACAAAACTTATGGCAATAGAATGACAAAATCTAGGTCAGCATACAAAACCTGGGGCAATAGAATGACAAAATCTAGGTCGGCATACAAAACTTATGGCAATAGAATGACAAAATCTAGGTCAGCATACAAAACCTGGGGCAATAGAATGACAAAATCTAGGTCAGCATACAAAACCTGGGGCAATAGAATGACAAAATCTAGGTCAGCATACAAAACCTGGGACAATAGAATGACAAAATCTAGGTCAGCATACAAAACCTGGGGCAATAGAATGACAAAATCTAGGTCAGCATACAAAACCTGGGGCAATAGAATGACAAAATCTAGGTCAGCATACAAAACCTGGGGCAATAGAATGACAAAATCTAGGTCAGCATACAAAACTTATGGCAATAGAATGACCAAATCTAGGTCAGCATACAAAACTTATGGCAATAGAATGACAAAATCTAGGTCAGCATACAAAACCTGGGGCAATAGAATGACAAAATCTAGGTCAGCATACAAAACTTATGGCAATAGAATGACAAAATCTAGGTCAGCATACAAAACCTGGGGCAATAGAATGACAAAATCTAGGTCAGCATACAAAACTTATGGCAATAGAATGACAAAATCTAGGTCAGCATACAAAACCTGGGGCAATAGAATGACAAAATCTAGGTCAGCATACAAAACTTATGGCAATAGAATGACCAAATCTAGGTCAGCATACAAAACTTATGGCAATAGAATGACAAAATCTAGGTCAGCATACAAAACCTGGGGCAATAGAATGACAAAATCTAGGTCAGCATACAAAACCTGGGGCAATAGAATGACAAAATCTAGGTCAGCATACAAAACCTGGGGCAATAGAATGACAAAATCTAGGTCAGCATACAAAACTTATGGCAATAGAATGACCAAATCTAGGTCAGCATACAAAACTTATGGCAATAGAATGACAAAATCTAGGTCAGCATACAAAACCTGGGGCAATAGAATGACAAAATCTAGGTCAGCATACAAAACTTATGGCAATAGAATGACAAAATCTAGGTCAGCATACAAAACCTGGGGCAATAGAATGACAAAATCTAGGTCAGCATACAAAACTTATGGCAATAGAATGACAAAATCTAGGTCAGCATACAAAACCTGGGGCAATAGAATGACAAAATCTAGGTCAGCATACAAAACTTATGGCAATAGAATGACAAAATCTAGGTCAGCATACAAAACCTGGGGCAATAGAATGACAAAATCTAGGTCAGCATACAAAACTTATGGCAATAGAATGACAAAATCTAGGTCAGCATACAAAACTTATGGCAATAGAATGACAAAATCTAGGTCAGCATACAAAACCTGGGGCAATAGAATGACAAAATCTAGGTCAGCATACAAAACCTGGGGCAATAGAATGACAAAATCTAGGTCAGCATACAAAACTTATGGCAATAGAATGACAAAATCTAGGTCAGCATACAAAACCTGGGGCAATAGAATGACAAAATCTAGGTCAGCATACAAAACCTGGGGCAATAGAATGACAAAATCTAGGTCAGCATACAAAACTTATGGCAATAGAATGACAAAATCTAGGTCAGCATACAAAACCTGGGACAATAGAATGACAAAATCTAGGTCAGCATACAAAACTTATGGCAATAGAATGACCAAATCTAGGTCAGCATACAAAACTTATGGCAATAGAATGACAAAATCTAGGTCAGCATACAAAACCTGGGGCAATAGAATGACAAAATCTAGGCCAGCATACAAAACTTATGGCAATAGAATGACAAAATCTAGGTCAGCATACAAAACCTGGGGCAATAGAATGACAAAATCTAGGTCGGCATACAAAACTTATGGCAATAGAATGACAAAATCTAGGTCAGCATACAAAACCTGGGGCAATAGAATGACCAAATCTAGGTCAGCAACTATGGCAGCTATGAAAAACGTAAATTTTATAAGTGAGATGACATGCAGCAGTTATTTGTATTTCAGATGGTTTTCATGAAAATTGGATTAGATTGAGAACTTCAACATTTCCTTTTGTTTGATACACCTTATAAAAATAGAAGAATTTTTTTTGTATAATATAGTGAAAATCATTGCGTCATGAAGAAAACATTGATTAATTTTTAAAAAGCTAATCGAACATCTAATTAGTTTCATTTTGTGTCACGGTGCATTGTCATCAAGTGAAACTTTGAACAAAATCAGTCATGTAGGAATGGTTGAAATTTTGAACGAAATCAGTCACGTAGGAATGGTTGAAATTTTGAACGAAATCAGTCATGTAGGAATGGTTCAAATTTTGAACGAAATCAGTCATGTAGTAATGGTTGAAATTTTGAACGAAATCGGTTAGGTAGAGGTGGTGTTGAAATTTCGCTCACAAGTTTGCACATGTGACATAGGAATCAAAATAAATGTAAGCCCTGACAGGGGGGGGGGGTGACCTTTAACCTACTCTACCTCCCTAGGACTATAATCTAATCGGTCGTCTGAGCAACTTTGGTTCAACCCACAGGGGTTTAACTCATAACTTTAATCTTGATAGAGAAACAAAAGATAATCATAACTTTTATTAAATGAACAACAAAATAAATGAAAACACTCTTTATTAAAATTCTCAATAATTAACTAAACTTAGCTTCAAAACAAAACAACCCAACAAAACAAAAAAAACTTTCAATACATCTAGCCAAGTTACAAAAGTAACCTGAATGGAAGGAAAAAATAATAAAAAATCTTATAAAAATTTACGAAAATACACACATATGTACACATGGTAAATAAGGTTTATACACTAACTTCTACTATCTCAACTAATAATAACATACTAACTATACTAATCCTAAAATCTAAAATATCAAAATCGGTTTTTATTACATATAAAGTCTTAAGAAAGGTCTCAGTACACCGCAATTGTAAAAAAAAAATCATAAAAAACGTTTCAATAACAAGCTTTTATGTAATAATGCACTAAATAGTAGAAAATAAATTATACACTATTTAAATAACTATAAAGAAAAGCGTGGGTCACATTAGTATCTATTGGATACCTTTACTAATATTTATTAAGAGATCCACTTTTTCTTTATCGTTATTTAAATAGTAGTGTATAATTTATTTTCTACTTTTTAGTGCATTATTACATAAAAGCTTGTTATTAAAACGTTTTATATGAATTATTTTTTCAATATTTTAAATTTTAAAATTGCACAATAGAGTTGCATGACTAAAGACCATGCGCACCTTATGAAAGTGATGACGCGTGTCTAATAGTGTGAAATAGTTTGATGAGACAGCCTACTAATTTGAACACAATTTTAATTAATTCATAAAAAATTAATCAGGCAACTAATGGAGACAAGCGAGTTGACGAGATTCCTTCCATAGTGTTGTTGACATGGAATAAAAACGTGCTTTTTAGATTTAGACCTTAAAAAAAATAAAAAATAAAAACTTAAGCCTAAAATTAATTTAGAAATTTTATATTTTTAGAATAAATGCTATAAAAGTTGCAAATCCAGAGAACTTGAAAATAATTTGTTGAGTTTAAGGCTACATTTCTATTTATTTTCATCAAG